GAATTTCACTCCATAGATGTTGCAACGCTGCACTCAGTAGTTGCAGGTCAACTGGCTGTGGACGGTGATTGTAAAGCCTTCTCTGCAACGCATCCCATGTGTGCTCAATGGGATTGAGGTCTGGAGACAACGGGGGAAGGTGCAGATGGGAAATTGCCGATTATTAACACTGATGAACAAATCTGCCTCTATGAGGTCTGGAATTGTCATCCAGAAATTAAAAATCCCTGCCAATGAGATTTGAGGGATGTAGTCTCGATAATTTCTTGGACATAATGGACTGCGGTGAGGTTCAACAATACGGAGTCCGGTTTATCCTCCGGTGTAAATCCCAGAACAGACCATTACACCGCCTCTTCCAAACTGCATTGAAGTGAGGATGATCTGGGGCATTGCACGCATCCCTTGTACTCGGTAGGCTCTTCAGCACCTGCTATCACTATAGAGACAAAAACACGACTCATCAATAAACAACAGCATTCCAATTGGTACTCTCTTCTAGGCGCTCACTGCACCATACTCTCCTGAGTTGCAGGTGGCAGGCTGTTGCTGTAGGTTGTCTCAAAAGGGCATACAATGTGAGGCCAACTTCCCTCAAACGATTCATATTAAAGGCCTAGCCAAAACGTCTTGTACTTCTTAGGATCTGGCAGGCACCATGAAAAGTGTTCCGTCTTGCAACAATGACAATATTTCTGTCCTCCCTTTACGTCATAATACACTGAGATCCATTACCAGGCCTCCTATTGGCACTTCCTCTAAGAAACGCCAACTGCCTTTGCAATATCCACTTGCAGGTGACCTCGGTGACTCATTCTCACAATAATATTGTGGACTTCTGGTTCGAATGATGGTTTCGAGATGATGTCTTTCCATGGTTAATAATAACAACTGGTTTAAAATGGAGAAAAGATGAGAAAAGGTGTTTGTTTACAAATGAGTAATCTCCATGTTTACTCCGTTATTAAAAATGAGGATTAACATTTGTTGGTTTTTTATTTGTATTTTTTATTTTGTTTTATCCAACTAACAAGAATATATCGGTCAATTTAGTTAAAATTAATAGAATAAGAACAAATTACAAATATTCCTATTCATTTTTGAACAGTTTATAAAAATGTTCTCTGACTGACTGAACGCACAGACCAAACTGCTGGATCTAAAGGGCTGAAATTTTGATAGTGCATTTCTATAATGACATGGAATGCCGCTAAGAAAGGATTTTTTGAAATTCTACCCCTAAGGGGATAATATGGACAATTTCTTACCATGTATAGACCAAAGTGAACTGAAAATAAGAAAAATTTGAGAAACAAGACATTATATTACAAAGCCATACTAGCACTCTGCATCGTATTGGAAAAGTATATTAAAATAGTTCCAAGTGGACGAAGTCCTGGGTAAAAGCTACTTAAACATAAAAATAATCTTAAAGGTAAATTATTTGTAATTGATAGATTTTTTATCACATAAAAGTATATAATGTATGATCCATAATACCAAAACACATGGTTTCTAGTGAGACTTCAACCTCTCTGGTCCATGTTTTCACCTTCCGTCTCCATGCTGCATCAAGACTATGAATCTGTCTGCTCACCGCCTTTCTCGTTTTCTAGCCTATGAGGTTATCAATAAAAAAAACATTCTGGTTCAAGCACTGGGTTAATTTGGTGGAAAAGTACTCATGCCCTTTTAACTCTAACTTCCGAGGTTCGGGAAAAATGGTGTGCCCAGTTGATGGGCATACGTCAAAGGATGGATGTTAGCGGGAAGAGTGTATGTGGTCGGCTCGACAGGCCAACTGTTTTCTTTTGTATAAAGATCTGCAGTACCCCCTACCCTGCTGTCCCTTAATTCAAGAAATACAGATCTTTCGCCCACAGAGCTGAGCTGGTTTTTTAAATTAATAACTTAACTACACTCCATGGCGAGAAAGAGTTATCCCTCTGTGCTCTTTGTAGCCTCAGAGAAAGGGAGGATGTGATCCATTTCTTGGGTGTATGTCCCATCCTCTCAGAATTTAGATATCCCTATACAGGTCACAGCAGGCTCAGCAGAACCCGGATAATTGAATTCCTTAATGGCAGGAACAGTCTGCAGTTGATCAGATTCGCACGACAGGCTTGGTCGTATCGTCATGATCTAATTGTGGAATTCAATTATGATCAATGTCCTTGTCCTTTTTAAATTAGTATCATTGTATTATTATTATTTTTTTTTTATTTATATATATATTTTTTATGGTTGTGGCTTCAACCTCTGGCAGATGGTTTTTATCCATACCGTTATTTTATGTAATGGCATATATTTTTTTTTTTTTTTTGTAAACATTTTGTATTAATAAAGCATTATTATTATATAATGTAAGATATATTTGGGATTTCTAGAAGAGGGGTTGGAAGAAGAAGGTCGTCATCAAACACGCCTCCGAGCACACCGGGGAGGCTGCTTCCTGCGACGCCGTCCCCGTCGAGGCACCCTCACCTCCTTTCGAGATCGCCCAGCTCGCTCAGCTCATCGCCGTCGAGGAGAACGCGCTCCGGGCCGCCGACGTTCGGCTCTGCGCCACCTTCGCGTTCCGTCTCGCGCAGCGACCTCCTCGCCGCAGTGCCCATCTCGGCCCCGACCAGCCCGAGAGGTTCGCCGGCTCACTCGATGAGGAAACAGCTATAACGGTTGCTTCCAATCCTCCCCGGCACGGCCGACAAGGGGGATTGGGTATAAACGAAAAAACCTATCTTCGACACGTGTGCTGTATATAAATGTACATTTATACTTTTTTAAATACGCAGCTGAAGCGCTTCCCCCCCTGTTTTACAATTTTCAATATTTAAAACTGTAGAATCTCATTAATCAAACCAGTATTTCCTTTTCAAACCATCTGCCGCAATCAACTCACAGTACCTGTTCAGGACTGTCAGCGTTCTGCGTTACTGGGAACGAGATATCACCTACCTCTACGCAGATACTGACAGTGTGATATCGCGCTCTACTCTCTTCATTTTTTAGTTCATGTTCTCAGAAACAGTGTGCTGTTTAAGTTATTTTAGCAATATCAAAATTACGTCCTGATTGTGTTAACTCCTAGTATGATGATGGGTAGGAAATAAATTGTCTTTTCCACAATAGGCATTTATTTGGTCTAATATAGACCATCTTCAGTGTTTTTATTTATTTATTTATTTTTTTAATAAAGTGGTTTGACGGTTTTTTAAATTCTTATAAGTTCAAAAGTGTATATCTATATAGACTTGGCGAATCACTGGAAACCCATTTATCCGGACCCCAATGATCCTTACTTCCGGATTATCTGGACCCGTTTGTTAAAATATTTTTTATAAATTATTTGGAGATCATGAGATGCGGTCTGGTATAGTCACACAATCTCCAAATAATCATTAATTAATGGTCACTAAAAACATTTTTTTTTATGAATTTTTCATATTTCTCAATGTATGTACATTAATTTTCCACCTTTTAGAAAATTAATATACATACATTGAGAATTATGAAAATTCAATTATGGGACCTTTAATTCGTCATTTGAAATTCGTAAAGGCCACCAAATCGCCCCACTAGTCACACGATCGAAGAGGCCAACAGTCACGTTTTTTTTTTTTTTTAATTTTTTTTATTAGTTAATTAAATAAAAAATAAATAAATAAAGGTGTATACTATTTTAAAAGACTAGAAATTGTTGCGTCATGTTGTTCGTATGTTGGCTTCCATTGAAAAGGATTTTTTTATTACATATATTTTTATTAGGTATTTTTCACATATAAATTTTTCGATAAACTCATGTCCGGACTTAAACAAAAATAAAACTAATAAAAATGTAACTTGAAAGTGTTCACTTTCGTATTTTTTTTCCGTTTTTATGAAATGATACTTATAAAATCATAAATTTTTGGATTATCCGGACTTTCAATCATCCGGACAAGTCCCGGTCCCTTCAAGTCCGGATAAACGGATTTCTACTGTGGTAATAAATGCCTATTATGGAAAAGACAATTTATTTCCTACGCATCGTCTTATTATTATGATGTTCCACAAAATCAGGGTGGACACCATCAAAAAATTCCTGGTATTTATTTTGAACACATATTTCTCTAAAAAATTTTGTCCTGAAAAAATGAATAAACTAAGTATATATTAAAAAATTACAGCTAGAAGCAAACGAACAAAATAAATTTTAGAATTTTATTAAAAATTGGCTTCGACCCATTGAGGACGGTCAGCGTTCTTTGTTCCGGAAGTGAGAGCCTGATGTCGTACTCATACCTCTACACAGATACTGAGAGCGTGATATCACGTTCATTCCTTTTATGCAGATGCTGAGAGCGTGATATCACGTTCATTCCTTTTATGCAGATGCTGAGAGCATCACGCTCTACTCTCTGCACTTTTATATTCCAGTTCATAGAAGCAGTGTGCCATTTAAGTTATTGCTTTTATTATATTGAGAGTGGGAAATTGAGAAAACCAAACTATTGTTTACCGTTTTATGACTAATCTGGATCTTGATGAAAAGCAAATTCGATTGTTATTGACAAACTTTGACCTATTTTAAAGACATCATCAGGGCAAAACAATCTTAAATATATCTACAAATTAACATAATTAAGTTTTTAATGGACGATTTTTTTATTTCTTTGAAGAACGACTTAGTCCCAACATTGCCAAGGACTGTAACTTTTTTCCCTCGATCAATTTTAAGGTCATCGTTTTAAACAACACACTGCTTTTTTGAACTTCAGGCTAGAAGTGAAGATACCAGAGCGGGATATCACGAATTTGAATTTCGTGAATTTTCACTAATTGGCAATTTGAAAAGGACCATCGGCGTGAAAAACCAAAAACGCCAATTTTTACAACAAAAAAAATACCTGGGATACCTCTTTACTTTCACAACCGATTTGCAAACTTATTTTTTCTTTTCCCATCTGCAGTTTAAAAACCAAAAATTCTTTTTGCCTGAACAACACCCGAATTAAATACAGGAAGGTGCATATTATTTTAGCACCATGATGTGAACTCAAACAAATATTTGAAGTACAAAAAAAAAAAAATTGTTAATACTTCACAATTCGACTTACAGTTAGTTTATATATTGTAAAGTTAAGTGTGTCGTTAATGAATATTTTTATATTTTTTTACTATTTTGAATAATTAGAACAAAGCTTTATTGTTGTTTTTTAAACAAAATTTTCGATGGAGAAACCATCTCTCATCTTCAAAAGACCCGAAACTTTGCAATGTTCTGTGGAGATTGTAGGGCATCTATAGGTTCTAGGTTTTTTCTTCTTTTTTCCCCGAAATCGACAAATGACCAATTATTTAAGACTCAAGACATATCGCTTTGTTTTTTGGTTTTTTTTTTCTTGTGTGTACAAAACAAAGAACAAAGGTTGTGGACATAGCTTGTAAAAAAGTATGTATTTAAACTATTCAAGAAAAACAGATTATTCCCGCTTTAAATTTTATAATATATGCTATAATATTATACAGACGACACCAGCCAAAATATATACGAAAAAATACATTTTATATTTAGAGCGAAACTGAGCCCTTCTCGTTAAAACATATAGGCTGGAGATTTTTATTTTAAGGCAGAAATGTTGAATTTATAAGCTTTTATTTATTTTAAAATTGTACTGATTGTTCAACCCTGAGGACCATCCCTCCGGCCTTTCAATACAAACCATGGTTGTTAAACAAAAAATTTTTATTTATAATTAGTTAAATTAATTAGAGAAAGAAAAGTCTGTTTTGATAAACAAAAAGTTCAAATTGAGGGTTCATAAATTTCTTTTGGGCCGGTTTGTCTGTGTGTCTGTTTTACATATCTAGAGCACTTATAAAAAAAAGCAATATGCACAACCAGACAGCTCAAAATTTTAGTCTAGCTCGTAGTGTTTTATAAAAGTACTAGGCCTTGCAGACAATTCTTTAAATTTTAACCCACACGATTAAACTTTCGCTAAAGCTTCAAACTCTTTTAAATAAAATTTTAAAAAAAGTTAAAAATAAAAACACAAAGGGCTAGAGGATGAAAGCAATTCAAAGGACAATAATGTTGAATGATGTCCAGTATGTTAAAGAAAAAAAATTAAATCAACGCCCAACTTCATATACGTAAACGAGAGAGCTGTTATTTAAACGACAGTAATAATAATAAAAATAAAACCGTCCTTTATATCACAATGTATTACCATTTTTTTTGAGTTTCAAAGTCTTTCGATTTTGTGTCTTTCAGTCAAATAAAATACAGAAGACTCGGAAGGCTTCGGATTAAAAAAAATAAATAAATAAATACATATAAATAAAACGACCCTTCAATAAAGTTCATTTTGCAAGCTTTCTAAATTTAATTGTTATAAAAAAATTTAGTCCAGAGCAAATTTGAAATCAGCTTTATTACATTTGATAAATCGTTTTTTTGCATTTGAAAACTGTCATGCTCATTGGGATACAATCATTAATTTATAAGTTTTGTCATGTTATTATATCAGTGTCTTACACCAATTCTCCCAACGTCGATGTTTTCAACCGATAAATTATTTTATATGATTTCTATGTCCAAGTTGTTGGTATTTTGTTTTTCAAGACTCAAAAATTGTTTTTTCTTGGTACAATATTTAAAAACTTGACGTTGGGAATCTGGCTTTAAAATATTAGGTGAATTTACTAATAAAATATTAAGAAAAAAAACTTGTTAACATTGACAAAAGATTCCTCAAAATAGAGAAAAAAGAACATTTGTTAACCTAGCAGGTTCTAGGTAGTTCATATAGTTTATAGATTGTTAAATTAGATATAGAATAAATTTATATGTATTATTGGGTGATATTTCTTATAAGAAACAAAATATATAAATAAAATGGTACTGATTGGATGTAAACGGCCAAAGTGATAATGTTGGTTGGATTTTCAATAAATATCAGTGATTGCTGATACGCTTTTCATTAATTACCTTCTAATTAATATTTATTTCAGAGGATTTGATCTTTTTTTTTCTACAATCAAGCGTTCAAAATAAATCTCCAAAATCTTAATATTTTACAATCAGAAGCTTGATTTTAAGGCTGTTTTTGAATTGTGTACCAAATTGCACTGATCGATAGATTATTTAATTTGGTAATGTCGAACAAATTAATTGTCATACTTAGTATAGCAGGAGATTCATTCACTATTTTCGTGGTCCGCTTGACCAATTAATACAAGACAATTAAGGTTTTTAGTTGAGATGAAAAAAAGCTAATGGCACAAGCGGGATTCGAACCCACGACCTTCGGCTAGATACGCCGCTGCTCTACCACCTGAGCTATTGTGACCTCGATCCACTCGGACATCAACTCCCCATCTCAACCCCACCTTATGAGTTTTCCCTCCTTTTGCCATTTTTCTTCTCGTGCCATTAGCTTTTTTTCATCTCAACTAAAAACCTTAATTAATTGTCTTGTATAGCAGGAGATTGGTACAGCCATTTCAAAGTACGATATTAGACATATGAGATCTTTTTGAGTGCTAAATATGAACTGATAGCAGTTCACGATTCTCTTGAATCTGTTAACAAGCTCGATCATGAGTCCATTCAAAAAGGGAAAACGCAAAGGAGGGAGCAAGAATTTGAAAAATTCAAAATTTGAAAGGGAAGAGTCGCTTTGCATGACGTAATTTGTAGAGGATGAAGAACAACGGCGGGAGATTTGGGAAATTAGGGGTTTCCAGCGTAGGGTTTGTTCAAGGATGATCTGTTGATTTTTGACAGATGGATAAAAGATCAGTTGTTCGTTAACGCAGAGGGGATGAATACGAGGTACACATTTAACCCACTGACAATTCCATAAAGTCCATTATTATTGATAAATAAGATGACTTCGTAATGATGTTCATAAAAAAATTTTTTTTTATTTGTTAATGAAGATTAATTTGTTGTAATAATGAGGTTTATAAGAGCAAATAAAAGAAATCTTCATGTTCATATTATATTTTACACAATATAAGTACACAAAAAAGTATATACAGCATAAAAGCATTTAATCGTGCTTCTTGAGGTGATATCGATGTGAAGACCCTCTTTCGTTTCTTTTATTTTCAATATATACATTTAAAAAAGAAAACAAAAACAAACAAAAACAAAAATAGAGCAAAATAAAGAAATAGAAAAAGGGAAAAGAGAAAATTAAATAAACTGAAAATACTTCGTGGTCAAGGAGCGTCGTCGAGGGGGTAGGAGGCGATGATGAAATATACGCCGAATCAAATTTTCCAGTAGTCCTCCTGTTTCCATCGGGGAATTCTTCTCTCGCCCGAGATGAATTGTTTCTTTTTGTGCGTTTATACTTTTTATTTTTAAAAAAATTTGAAATTACCTGAAAAAAGAATAACTCCCTCGGGGATTTCTCTATTGGTTTTATTCTCTCGTGAAATAATCGTGGCTGATTGGTCGATGTTGATACGTTGCGGCTCCTGATGAGTTGATTACTTATTCCTCCTCTTACTGTCTTGACGATTTGGCATTGGTTTGAAACAAATCAAACCGAACGATCCTTACCTTTGTGGGCAGAAAAGGTTGGTAAGAAATCAATAAATTTTTCTCTTTTTTCTCCCTTTTCTTCGTTGTTTTGTTAGTTATTTAAAAAAAAAAAAAAATACAGCATCCTCCATCTTCATCCTCTTTACAAATAAATGAGGTTATTTTCAGTTGCTATGTTGTTTTTCTTCTTCTATCGCTGCGAATATATGACCCTCACAAGACAAGAAAAAAATGGAGAAACAACAAAAAATAATTTCAAAATTTTTGTCGTTTCTTGTTTGGTCGTTTTGTTTTTTTATGTACACCCCCTCGGGTCAAGCCTCTGTTCTTCGAGTGCGAACGAGGCAACTAAAAAAGCAAAATTTCAAAACTCCTAAGCTCCCACATTCAGGGCTACAGAGCTCGCCTTACAATCTAGCTTTGTCTTCGTATCATCCACAAACACTAGTCCTCCGAAACTTGTCAAGAACTCCTCAAGCTCTGAATCTGTCTCAAACGCTAGCTCCGATCTTAGGAAGTCTACAGGTATCGATGGCCGATAACTAAACACAATTTTTACAGCATGAGCTAAATTCTATGAATTGGAAATTTACTTTTTTTTTCAAATATATATTTGTTTTTGCTATTTCTACATGTGGATGATTGCTTTTTCTCCTCCTGAATATCAATTTTTAAACAAGTGACAATGTTGGAAGCTGGTAAAGATGATATTGGTGAAATATTTATCTCCTTGGTTCTTCTTGGGTTATTTAAATTCTTCTATTTATTATTTTCTCTGTTCTCTATTTATATCCATTTTTTAATCTGTTGTCTTCTTGTGTTTCAAAATGTACTATCATATATTATTCTTTTCAGTAATGATTTTAATGTTCTTTCTTTTCTTTCTCCCAAAATTCGTGGGATTTCTCAATATCCTCTTCTTGGTTGGTCTGATATTTTCTGATGTTTCCCTTTCTGATGATATGGCACCGGAGTGTCGAGCCATCGTAAAAATGGATAAAAGCAATCATCCAATGTAAAAATACATAATAAATATATTATTAACTTTTTTAAAACTAATATTAATGGAAAATTGGGCTGAAACACTACATTTTTCATGTTAAAAATTAAAGATTCAATTGAGGAAAAAAAAGGAGAATTTTTTTTTATCATGATCTTCTAGAGTCGCGATACATACCTGGAACTCAGACAAAGGTAGAAATCATCCTTAAAATAAACTGTTAACACAAAAGAAAACCTAGATTGAAAAATTTATTCATATAATAATTTTAATTCTGAGACTTGATTTTTTTTTCTCTTGAAAAAATTTTATTTGTCTAAGAAGCAAAGTTAATTATGATTTTATAATGACCTGATTGTCATTATCAAGGGTAAGAGATCAAATTTCTTTGTTTTACTAAGGGTATTATGTTGAGAAAAAAATTAAGCTATTACATGACAAAGCCGGTCTGCTTTGCAATTTCAAGTTTAAAAGTACGTATATTTACAGGAGAGCTTAACCTTCGAGCGATCACACTGGGGTAGTTTGACTGACCCCCCCCCCCCCGTGCTTTCTATTGTAAAAATAACATAGAAAGAAATGGATAGATTGAAAAGTGGCCATCTGAGGACTGTCAGAGAAGAAAAATAAACTTTGCAGTACTACCTCGTGCATCATGTTAGTTTTTTCAACCGTTTATTTTAATCCTTTTTCTCCTGTTAATTGCACCAAGGCAGAGTTCTATCTTTATTCTTGTACTTCTTTACGTCTTAAATAATTTTACAAATAACATTTCTAATCCTGGGCGAAGTTTACTGATTGAAAAATTCAAGAAATCTTCAATTGGAATAGCTGGTAAATATTTCAGAAATTTGGATTATAGGCGGGGTACAGGGATGGAGATTTAATTTTCTTCTCCTCAGATGCCTTAGATTCAACGATTTTAGTTCAGAGCAGAGAAAATGATAAAATTAGAGAAATCCATGATGTTTTTGATTAGTACGTGTTCTTATGAGATGAATTATTTGATGATTTATTTTGATGGAGAAGCTCACGATTCAATACCTAGTAAATCTGCCAAATATATCAAATTTGTACACCACAATTTTTGAAGGGTTTTTTTTCCGGTTTTTCAAATTTGACGTTCACCTTATAAAGACAATCCCCCATTAGCCCTAGGGTGGGAAAAGCTGTATAGAAAGAGATTGTTAAGAAAATCAGTCTAGAAGAAACTGCAATGCGTACTACATGGAAGCAGGTAAGCTTAATTTGAGAAATTGCATGCTAACAAGTTCTATATCGAGCATAGAGCAGACGCTTGACAAAATGTATGCTGTGAAACCCACTAATTGCACTCAGGAACAAGGAAGACCGCATGGTTTGTTGTGGTTCACATTCAAATAGGAATAAATCAAAATTATTTATTGCCTATTGCTCACAGGGGAAAGTGGGTCCTTTAAAAATGTTAAATGTTGCTGGAGGTCAGTGCAGAAGAATGAAATACTGCCGTTATTACAGTGATTTTTGAAAAGGTCACCAAAACGCCACTTTTAGGGATGGTTAACTAGACCACTAGACTGACGATTCGGTAGGCAACTTGGACGGAAGAGTGTGGAGCCAGGGCTTGATCGGAAATGCTTGGACAGTCACAATTGTGTTATAAAAAAAGAAGAAAAAATTGTGTAACGTGTTTAAAAACTGGAAATTTCTGTACTGGATTCATCGGAAAAAAAGTTTCTTTAATTAATGTCATATTGAAGAAAAGGATGTTTAAAAAAACTTGTCTTAGTTAATTAAACTTAATTATAAGATTATTTGGAGATTGTGAGATGCGGTCTGGTGTGACATAGGTAAACATTTTCTTTATAGTGCCAACGTTTCAATCTTTATTGAGAACATCTTCAGGGTTCGAAGTGTTTATTTTCTGTGCAGATGTGTCATTATTGTGTGTCGTGTTGAGAGTGCTCTTACAGTGAGTCTAATTATAAGAGAGTTATTCTCTTTTCTTTTTTATTGATTCTATTGTTTATTTTTAAAATAAGATGTTTTTCCCTTGTTATACAGCTATTGTCAATTTTATTCTTAAGAAGCATAATCCCTTAATGTAATACCACTGGCATGGCAGTGCAAGTGCAAACACCATCATAAGGTCTGTTTGGTGGAGATATTCGAGGAATTGTTGGGAACTGTTATCTCGCAATCAAGCCCTATACTTATAGAGCATCTGTTGAAGTAAATACGTGGTGAATAGGCGTAACATCATGTTTCAGGCCTCGCACAGCTGCTCTCACTGTTGAGTAAAATCGCTGAGTTAGCCAAGCCCACCCTCCATACTCTTCAGACCTTGCCCCTTCATATTTTTACTTGTTCCTTTCCCAAGAATACCAGTTAATAAAATAAAAACGTTAATACCCCCTATACCAGTTAATAAATAAAAGGTAGGGAATTTTGTAACTAAAACACTCCGAAAACCAGACTTATTTTTCTCATTTAAGTCATCAGACTTTTACGAAAATAGGATATTTCTGATGATGGGGGCTCTGTCCACAAGATGATTAAAAATAACTCACTTTACTGATCAAGCAATGAACTGCTCTGAAACCTCTTTACTACCAACTCTTCAGTGATTGCTGCTTAATTTTGAATTTTGTCTTTACCTTCATTCAATAATTTCTCACCCATTCATGTTCCAATGGTCTAAAACACCAACTTTAATTTCTTTATTTATGAGTTATACCCAGTTACAAGAAATCACAATTTAATGATACTCAAATTTGAAAAACCGGCCAAGTTTAGGCAAGGAATTATGGGTAAGATAAATTTGGTGAGCGCGAGCATTGAGCCGTGAAAAAGAGCTGATTCTAAGGATCTGAACCACTGAACTGATTGAGCAGTTTCAATGCAATTTTTAAAAGTAGCAGTTTTTCAATTTTTCTCGCCTCTATTACGCAGACTCGCGATACTATAAATTCATCCTTTTATTGGTCTGTATCATTGCTCAAATTCACCTCTGAAGTTCATAACACATTCGGTAACTCTGATTACAAATTCTAACAAAATTTAACAATTTATGTCCTTGTTTTGGTCGGCCGTTGGATAATCAATTGCTAATTTTAATTTTTTTTAAAATGAGTTGGGATAAATTTATACCCCACGCGACCACTTGAAGGTTAACGTTCGACTATCTATTGGACATTGTGGGCTAGGCTTTACAATACTTAATCTCATTAACTTTTCATGTAAATCATGAGATTTTGAACCCAAAACATCAGACGCACTAATTATCAAATCTACGAAAAAAAAAAAAAAAAGTATCTAGCAAATACCTACGATTTGTCATACATCGAAGTTTTAAGGAACGGGTAAATTTGATACATACGCTTTTACTATAACTTTAAGAGCCAACGTCCTCTCTCTCAGCATGAAGAGGTCCATGAGGTATGACGACATCCTCGGCGCTGTTTTGTACAGCTTGAATATCTTGTGGAAAGAGCCGATCAGCCAGGCCTTCGAAACCTGTACGGCATGGCTGATACAATCATCTTTTTTGTCTTCGTCTTTTAATGAGCTCATGAGCGTATTCATGTCTTGAAGGGGGAAAAAATTATTAATATAAGTAGATAAGGAGTTTTTTTGTTTTTTGTTTTACCCATGAATTCTTTGGTGAATATGTAATAAAGCAATCTGTAAGCGATGAACTCTTCTCGGTTTGATTTGCCATCTTCAACCTCGTTGTGCAATATACGGAGTTGTGACTGGCACTGGTTGAATTCGGCGTGATCCCCTTTCTCAAGAGCTATCCTCGCATGAGTTTCATATACTTCTACACTAAGATTATCCCTTATACCTTGAACCTATAATTATAAATTTAAAAAATAAATTAAAAGTCAATCTTGTGTTATATATCATAATTTTTTTTTTACTTACAGTAAGATCTTGTCTAATTGATTTCAACTGCTCACATGCGTAATGATAATCACGTTCTGCACTCCATTTTTTCTTTACCATGTCTAGAGCTTTTATTAAAACATAAGGAGGCCGCACCTTAAAAAATAAAAAATAAATATTTTTAACGAATGTAAGTTATAAATAGACTAACTTGTGAAGCCTCTGGAGCTGAAGTGAGTCTCAAGTAGGATTTTTCCAAGTCCTCGCATGTTCCGACAATGTGCAAGTCGCTTATGTCAAAATCGCCCATTGGGTTGGGCGACGAGTTGAAACCTGTGTCGTATACGAACAAAACGGGAGGTTTTCTTTTTGCGAAGATGTTCTGTTGCGCTTGGCCCTGAACGTTGTTAAAACGAGCGGCGCGTTTGTCAAGGACTTCCTTCTTAACGACCATGTCCTCGTTGTTCATGAGGCCGAATTCAGAGTAGAAATGTGACTTCTCTCTTACGGGTGTGTTGTAGTGTGTATGCTTTTTTTGGTTTCTCGGCCCTTTTTTGTTCAAGTTGTTCCTTGGTTTTTTAGGACTCCTAGGGCTAGGGCTGCGACTCCTGTCACGGTCGTAGCTATCAGAGCTACTTCTTGAAGAACTACTGTCACTAAAACAAAAACAAAAAAAATTAAATATAAACTATATTATTCAACTTTAAAACCAAAACTTACCTTCTGTAAGTCCTTTTCGTCTGCCTTCTCTTAGGAGGCGAAGGGCTTTTCTGTTTAGGGCCCAACCTCCCAGCTAAGCTCGTCTTCAGTTTTTCTTTTAAATTTAGCATGGCTTTACTATCACTATCCAAACTAAAACCATAATAAATATATAATAAAGTAACTTGTTGAAATTATCAATAAATTTTGATAATTAACTTACAGCGGTAATGGTTCAGCGTACCAATCTTTGACCCAAAGAGTACCATCGTTAGTCGCTCTCATAAGCTTTCCCTTGAGAATCACACCCACTCTGTCTTTATCCATCTGAGTGACACATTTTGCATAGCATCTATTTACATAATCCCTATAAAAACAATACCGGTTATTTTTTTTTTATATATTTTTTTTAATAAAAATTATATAAAAAGTTAAAAAATAACCTTAGAGAAAGCGGCCATTCTTCAAGCGCTCGGATTCCTTGCTGTTGAGGCAAATTCTGCTGCGAAAGCGGCGGTAGAGGAGGCGGTTGCTTTGCAATTTCATTCTGGTTCTCTTTTAGAACGGGAGGAGGAGGCGGAGGTGGTGGTGAAGGCGGAAGCGGAGGCATGGCGGAAGGGAGCGGAGGGAACGACGGGGTGACATGCGCCTGGTTCTGTTGTTGCTGTTTTTTCTTCTTCTTTTTATTTTTCTTCTGGCCAGCCGTCTGGTTCTGGCCCTGCGGCCTTCCCTGGTTCTGATTAAAAGGGTTCGTCGGATTCAAATTGATACGAGGTCGTGGGACGTTCATCATAAACCTTATCGGACCTTGTTGAAAATCTAAATTTAAAAAAGGATTTTAAGACAAAAATTTTCAATGGATAAGAGAGATAAAATTGAGTATATATACATGCTACCTGTATTGTTTTGAGGGAAAGACCTCGCCGCTTGTATATTGTTCTGATCTTGGTTTTGTACGGGTACAAATCCGTTTTGCTGCGGTGGAGGAGGACCAGGAGGGAGAGGTGGAAGTTCGCTCATTGTCTCTTCTTTTTCTTTATTTTCCTGCGCCGCTGGCTGAGTCGTCTGCGCAATGTTTTGAAACGGTACCATCGGCCCTTGAGATACGAATCCTCGATACTGCTGGCTGCTCTGCTGCTGGTTCATATAAGCAGCTTGCATACGCTGCAATAAAAAAAAATATATATTTAAAAAATCAACACAGGAAAGAAAACCATTCAACTTACAGCGTAAAACTGATAATATTCTTGAGTCCCATACCCCTGCGGATACCTATATCAAAAATTCAAAATTAATATAAATCTCAGTTTAAAATATATCGAATATCTTACATGTACGGGCTTTGATACATGTTATACATGTTCATGTTGTAAGACCAAGGCTGCTGCTGTGGTTGCTGCTGCTGTTGTTGCTGCTGATGAGGAGGTTGAGCAGCATTTTTATCAGACATCACACTCATGAGAGAATAAGATTCTGAAATTTAGAAAAAAAATCCGTTTAACCTACTTGACAGAATTAATGTCGCGCGTTCACTTTATATTCAAACTCACCTGCCAGGTCAGAATATAATAAACTCTATTGAAAAGTGAGTTATGAAAACGGTTGAAAACACGATTTATTTTTTTAACCAACCGAGTCGCAATTTTATAGTTTTAAAGTCGAAATTTCACCAGAAACAATCGCCATTTACAACCCGTAATGACCTCAAGGATCAAACATGATGGAACCACCGTTAGGTGTCCTTGAGGTGATCGATCATTTCGTGACGACACCATTTACTACGTCACGAAAAGGGCGCTAAATTACGATTTTTTAAAAAGTCTACTTCTATAGTACGAAAAATTGAACACTAATTTCTTTTTAAAATAGACATTATTAATTTGACGAGACATATCTATAAAAATATAAAAGATGCGAAAAGGAATGATAAATTTAATGAGATAACAAAAATATACAATGGGGCAAAACATCAGCACACCCACTTTATTTTCTAACTTTTTTTTTCCGTAAAAACCAGCAAGGGCTATCATTGCCTTTATGAAACAGTGCATGTGCATGTGGGTATAGTGTTTTTTTTTAAATAATAATAATTTAATAGTATGCACCACGTTACATATTACATGCTCTTGATGCACGAATTATGACAGCGTAACAAAATAGTATAAATTCACCTTGATCCATTCTAAACACAAGTGTTAGATTAACGATATGCATGAAAAAGAAATATTGCTTCAATAATAAATCATTACAGTTAATCCAAATCTATCGAGTTGAAAAAAAGACAGTTTTTACACTATGTAGCTTTTCTCTGGAGGCCAAGGGACTGCAATGATTTTCTAAGAAAAGATGCTCTCTTTTTCAAACATTTTGCAGGTGAACAATGTATGATCCAACGTCTGTTGCACCATGGGCATTCTAAACTTTCTACAATGTTAAAATGATGAATGTTTGCTCTATTACTTTCATGGCCCGAGAGAGCTTGGGTTATTTTATATGTTAGGTCGATGCTGTTCCTTAACCTGGAGAGTGGAGGTGATGGTGAGAAAGAACGCCTTTGAGTGCTGTCCCACAGCAGATGTAGACCAATGTTGCTCCCATCTTTCCAAAACGTCCTCATTTACCAGGGCTTCCATGAAGGTCCTCAGTGACATTCTGAAGGATACAGGCAATATGGAGTCATTGACAGCTTTCTTGTTGCCCTCTTCGCCCACATGGCCTTTACTTTCCCAAAAACCACATCTATTCCAAGACTCTATGACTGGAAATTTCGTGTGTGTGTGAACCCTAAGGAACGTGTGTAACCAGCCCACCAGCCTCTACCACCAAACAGGGACGACTCAGGGGCAATTGTTGAGTTGGCATTGCTACTCCATCTTTTTTTGGAAAATCACTAGTGTATAACAAATAATGCGGTGGACCTAATATGCTACCTTGTGGCACTCCTACATTTATTATTTTTGATTTTCTGAATATTTATCTTCTTGTTTGATTCTAAAATGTCTGTCAGGTAGGAATAACACAACAATATGGTGTCAACTTGGTTGTTGACAATTTCAAATAGGAATATTAAGCCATAGGTGTTCCTTATTGTTTCCAGAGATATGATAGGGAAATGTGGTCTGTAGCACAGCAGTAAGTGTCATCTATGGTTAAACGGACTTTATGCACAGTATTTTAGGAATTTATTCTGCACTTTTCCAATGTCATGAATTGAATTTTTATAGTGGGGTAAATATATCTGGGCGTTGTATTCAAGTTCAGATCTTATATATAAATATATATATTTCACAGGGTGGGCGACCAAGTCCCGAGGGGTTAAATGCCTGGGTATACTCGTCGCCATCCCTAAAAGGTCCAGGACTTGGTCAGCTCACGTGTCCTGCATAAATCTCTTGAAATTATCCTCAAACCACATGATTTTGGACCATTTTATCTCAGGGAGTGATTTGGTGATGTCCGCTCCTTCAAAGATTTCAAATCTGGACCTAGCATACCTATCACACTCTGTTAAGTAGTGCCTAAGTACAGATCTTACCCCAAAGAGAAATATAACACTTTTAAACAACTTTTGTTAGTGATGTCAGATGTATTTCTCCTTAGAAAACCCAATAGTTTATAACATATTATTACTAGCTTTTACCCGTGACTTCATCCACACTGGACTCTGTTTTAATGTACCTTTCTAATGCAATGCAGAATGCAGTATGGCTTCAAATTTTTCTCATCTTCAGTTCACTTTGGTCTATACTTGGTAAAAAATTAAATGGAATTTCAAAAAATCCTTTCTTAGCGTCTATCCAGGTCATTATAGGAGTACACCATCAAAATATCAGCCCTTCAGATGCAGGGGTTTGGTCGGTACGTTGACTGTCCATCAGCCAGGGAACTGTTTTTTATATATATACAGATTATTATTAATTCATCACAGAGAAAAGATCAAGGGGGTGGATACTGTACGATAATAAAGATAGGAAAAATTTCCAGAAACTTCTCAGCTTAACTCTGTATTATTTGTCACATCGTTCATTTCATCTATATGCAATTTATTAAACTGTCCACAAATACATGACAAGAATTTTTTTGCTAAATATTTAATAAAATTTGTACCTGTGTGGATAGAGAATTAGAGTTCTTTGGTATAAATTTGTCGTTAGTATTAAACTTCAGAGAATCGTACCTTTCGAATTTTGGCGTCATGTAACATCACTTTGTCCAATTGGTATGGCATTGAAGCATAGTTGATAACAAACAGCCCGCCGTTTTATCATAAATGGTTAATATTTACTATTTAGCCACAAGTTGTGTCAGTTGACAGTTCTCTAGGTTATGATTTTGTAAGTTGAGACAAGTTTTTGTTTGAATTTTAATAAGGTAACTTTTTCTCTCTGTTGACAGTTGAAGGATTGCGTTGTAGACATAACCGCATGTAACTTTTTCCAGTTTGAACCAAGATGCTCTCTTTCCTCAGGAGCCTTGAGTTAGATAGATCGCAGCTTTACGGCAAGTTTATCACAGTCCATGAAGAACACGGTGGAGACGCCAGCTTTGCTTTAAGCTCCTTTATCACAGAATTCCTCGGTGATAGAGACGCCTCAGTCCTGGTTGTCGCTTTGCACCACAACTTCGAACACTACTTTCACACTTGCCTCAGGCTCGGGATGAACCTCAACAACCACAAGGATAGGATCGAATTCGTCGAACCTGACGCTGTCAAACTTTGTCAATTGGAAACTTTCAACGAAGCGGATGACTTTAAAAATTTACTGAATGTTTTGAAAAACAACATCAACAGGCTTGAACGCCAGAAGGGGAAAGTTTGCCTAGTCGTTGACTGCTTGACCGACCTGCTCGTTCTATCCGACGACGCCAAGACGGTCAAGATATTCATTCACTACCTGTACACTCTGCTCAAAGATAATCTATGTATAATCGTTCTAAACCAGTACGCCCAAGGGGACCAGGCGGAAATAAGCGTCAAAACGCATTTAGAGATGTCTTCACACCTGAACTTGTACGTTTCGCCTTTAAAAACTGGCTTTTCGAAGAAAGTCAGCGGTTCCATGAGACTCGAAGCGAGGGGCGATTCTAACCAGCTCAATACCAAATTCTACCATTACAGACTAACGGACAAACAAATTAAAATTTTCTCACCTGGCAACATTTCTTAAATCCACTTCGAGATACTATATATTTAACTGCATTCATATTTTATTAAAAATGTACATAGTACACATGTTTTTTTTTATATTTTTGTTTTAATTAAATAAAAACCAAATTTTTTTATTTGGAAACATTTATTTATGACATTCCCATTCATAAGGCATTGGTTCTTTAAAAATTCGTACTAAATATACACACAAATGTATGTATTTATTTTATTTATACAAATCTTGATTTATGCTTCATTAGAATACATTTGTAGCAAGTCTCATAAAATGATGTTTTTATATTTATTTTCTTGATATTGTTATATCAACCACCTACGGTTCCAGTGCTTAAAAAAATGTACTTTGCGTTTGAATTAAGGGCTTTAATTAATTAATTTTTTGCTTTGTGCATGGATCGCATCTGCCATATATAAGGACCGTTTCAGTTATATAAAAATAGTATCGACTATTTTCTATGTTTCAGTGGATTTGGATCACAGCTGATTTAAATTTTCTTTTTTACTGTCCTTTGATAAAACAAAATGCTCAAAATTTGTATTACCATCTGCAATTTTTAATTATGACATGTAAATCTTTATGTTGATGCCAAAGCATATATATATATATATAATGCAGGGTGGGCGAACAAGATCCGAGGGGTTAAATGCCTGGGTAGACTCGTACCCCATCCCTACTAAAAGGTCCGGGACTTGGTCGGCTCATGTGTCCTGCATAAACCTCTTGGACCTATTCACAAACCCCAAGATTTTGGACCATTTAATCTCGGGGAATGATTTGGTGATGTCCCCTCTTTCAAAAGTTTCAAATGAAATGTGAAAAACCTTATCCTACAACCTCAGTTGAATGCTTTTATATTTCATACTGTACAAAATTATTACAATTTATTTCATTTACTGGTTCAACTAATTCTCGCACTCTAGTCTTATTATATATTTACAAAGTGCATTATTTTCATTAAATATGTACCTAATTATTGCAGTTTCAATTGTCTTTCAGCTTTATTTTGTTTCCTCTGCCTTATTTGGTTAGTAATTATGTCTTTCATTTTTGTTGTTCAGTTTTTACTCTTTAATTGTATTTTTATATTTATCATTTATATTTACCATTTATATTATTACCATGTATATACGTCCTTATTCTTTTTATATTTATTTGTATTTTTACATATATTATTTATATTTTTTGTTATTGTAAAATGTCTTTTTTTATAGTGGATTTCAATCCATAAATAAATAAATCTAGACCTAGCGTGCCTATCACACTCAGCGAGGTAGTGCCTTGCCGTTTCTTCTTTTATTTTGCAAAAACGGCAAAAGGGATCTGGTAGAATACCCATTACGGAGAGGTGTCTTCTCAGTGGGCAGTGGCCCATCAGGATACCTATCATCCTCCTAATTCCCTTCCTTGAGTTAGAGAATAGCCATTTCGATTCTGCTGGTTTGATCTCCTTAACTAACTCCTTCGATCACCTGTGTCCGAGGGATAGATTCCATTCCTTAAAGAATTGTTTCATACTCCAGTGTTTAATACTATCTTTCGCTGTGCTTATAGAGTGAGGTAATACCAGTTGTGGCCCGACAAACGCAGTTTTAGAGCCTTCTTTGGCCAGGCTATCCGCCTCATTACCATAGTGTCCTTTATGTGCTGGTATCCAGATATTCTCAAACCTGGAAGATATTCTATTGATAAGATCTACAGTTTCCTCCACCAGTCTAGATGTTGACAAATCTTTTTGTAATGACCTAAGACTAGCTTGTCAGAAAAAATTCTACTATCTTTTCCCTTGATTTTATTTTCCATAAGTGTTCTACAACACACATTAATGGCCCAGATTTCCACCTGAAAAACGGAGGTGTTATTGCCAAATGGGGAGGAGATGCTGATTCCTAATTTAGGTATATGGATTCCAGCACCACTTCCTCTAGCATTGATATATCTGTATAGCAGTTTATGTTACGATGGTCATCATCCACACTATAGTTATATTCACAAGGAGTGACTACCTGAAAGTACTTTTTCCCCGAAGAGGTTTTAGCCTTTTTATTGCTAACGCTTAATAATTGGCCGTTAACCTTACTCAAAAGTTGTAGGATTTTCGAGTGACCTATGTTATTGCACTTATGGTTCCATCTGCCTTCACTAATTAATCTGTAGCAGCTGATTAGTGCTCTGACCTGTGGAGGGGTGTGGTATTGGTTATGATTTCAAGTGCTAGGTTGGGTGTAGTTGAAAATGCTCCTGTCATTATCAAACAGCCTAGTCTTTGAAATGACCTTAATTTGTTAATATTCCCTTTATTTTCTAGACCTTTCCACCATACTAAAGCTGCGAACAATATCTAGGTAGATGATGCCGAAGCATAGTGTATTTTATTTTCTTATTAAAATTGAAGACAGTTCTCTTTATTTTAAGCCCTCTGACCTCTGATTGGACTGCCAAATGATCGGACTGGTGGGCGGACTTTGTTTCGAACATGATACCGTCCGTTTTTCAGTAGCATATTGTTTTCCTCTGGCCAGGCGCCTTGTTTTCAGTATCTTAAAATTAGTCAACGTCTTTCCCCTTTCAACAAAGTAGTTCTCCTCTATTGCAACATGAGAAAATTTATCTTCTGAAAAGTGCTGTTTATGTGCACTGCATTTCCTGGCGGAAAACTCTAAGGCCTTGGAGCGACAGGTGTTATCCTGCAAGGGCGAATTGTAAGGTGGGGTGAAACATTTCTCCTCTCAGCAAGTTATTTTCTTATTAATCCCTTGTTTTCCGTATGTTTTATTTATTTTTATTATTAACCAATGTAGATAGCAATGAGGCGAGGAAATAATATGGCACGAATCTCTCTTCAGTTGTTCCTGGGATATCACCTTGAAAGAAGTAGGACGGCTACATGAATGGTGTCCTTTACCGAAGGCAGTCTCCTCTAGGGGGTGGTTAGCAAAGTTTAAATAAAACCACAGCCAGAGCAGATCCGGAAGTTCTTACGCTAGGGGTGCCCAATAGTCTGGGAGATAGAGTGGCCTTCTCTATCTAGGGAGTGCATGGGAGAACAGGCTGATGCATTTCAGCCACCTTGGGTAGACCTTTATGCACGGCATACGGTCTGATGCTTAATGCAGTCTTGGCCCCTCGAGGCTGGGACAGCTTTTACACCAACGCTGGCAGCTGTAACACACATCCTGTAGTGAGCGGAGGTGCATCATCTCTCATCTTGAGAATCAAAACGTCCGGTAAGGTCATGAGTCAGGTACGGGCGCTAAAGATCCTCATTGTCCTTTTAAGGACGACCGAGTATTTGGGAACGCACTGTCCAAACTCCAACTCCAGTGTTTCCATCAACAGGCTCTTTTAGACGACCTACTTTTCTTAACTCCTTTCAATAGGGCTTTTTCCAAACATAGAGTGGGTCTGGCACGTAATAACGGATCACCTTTATAAAGATAAAAGTTGAATTTTGAACAAAATGAAAAAAAACTTATGCACACACCCAATGTAAAGAACGATCACACTTCCCTGCAGTACTCCCGCAGAGAGCATCGGTCAGAATAACTTTTTCCTTGTCAAACCTGAAAGAAGAGAATTAATTAAAGTGTATTTGGATTTTGTAAAGAAACACTTTAATTTATACAGGAGACGCTTGTACCACACGTAGTCGAATGTTCCATATCAAGAACCACGAGAAACACTTGCTGAAGGGTCGACAGAGAACAAAAAAATTATGTATACATAAATCACTATGTATTAACAAACAAAAAAATTATTATTAAACTCGAACATTATTTGTTTTATATTAAACAAATTAACAAAATTGATTGCAAATTGTCAAACGAACTTTCACATACAATAAACACAACACAAGAAACGAACAAAGAGGAATTATTTTGAGTAAAAGGATCACAGTTTATTTTCTGGCAAGTACGCTGTTCTCCCCTTTTAAATATTATAATAATGTATAATACTGAATTTCAAGATATGTTTACTTTTTTCTGTCTAAAAAGTACAGTTTATAATTTTTTTTTTAATTTTTACAAAATGCAAAATAGTCTCACTCAACATCAAAGTATATCACAGTAATAAATGGAATGTTCACAGGGAATAATAAATGGAATTAATTATTAACAAAATTAAGTACCTAACATTTTAAGTCCAAGTCATTAAGAATTTTTTTAAATTGTTTTCTTTAGTTAAAAAAGAAAAACCTTAAATAAATTTAACATGCAAAATAAATTAACTCTTAAACATTTTATATAAACAATGGACGGTAAACTGAAATTAATTTCTTTTATTGTTTTCTTTTACCTTAAAAACACCCCTGATAATTAAATTTAACATAGAAAATAAATGAAGTCTTACAACACTTTATTTAAACCATGGACGGTGAATTGAAATGTGATTTAAAAATCAAAACTTAAGAGATAACAGATTTAAAACAAGAAAATATCAAAAATTTATTTTAAACCTGCTATCCCCCATTAAATATGGCTATTAAGGTCACAGTCTTAAATTTTACCATTTGTAATGACAATCTGATCTCTCTCAACCAAAGCGAATTATGGCGAATAAAAAAACAATTTTTTTGTATTAACAAGAGATCAAAGACCTTTGGTATTTATAATTTTGAAACAGTTTAAAACATGCAACAGCACCTCCTTGCTTTACTGTCGTCGACTACGTTTTCCGAAGTGTCGCCTGAGAACTTTTTAACGACGGCTGGAGAATCGATGTCTGACACGGTCGCCTGTGACAGGATGGAAGTCACATCCGGGCTCACGGTCCTGTTCTGCGCCCTTTGCTTTTTCAATTCAGCCAGTGTCCCTGCGTTTATCGTTACGGAGACGTGAATGTTGATTTTACCATTGCCCTCTGTTGAGTAACTCGTCTCAGTTGGTACTTCTGTTAAGAAAAAAAAAAAATCAGTGCGTTCAATGAAATTCAAAAACACTGATGGCTTACCGATTGGGAACGAGGGGCTGTCATTGACAAGCGCAGTTGCATCTTTTCCTTCAGGCTCCCTCCTCAAATTTGTCAACTCTAACAAACAAAGGTCATTTTCCACTGGAGGAGGTTTATTAACAGTCGGAGAGTTGGCAGGAACACTTTCACCGACAGGAGTAGGCTATTAACATTATCAATTAATTATTATTATTAGAAGTATTTTTATAATATTATTACAAAGCTTGCACCTATGGGAAAAAATTCTAACATGCCCAACAGTACAATTTGTAAAATTTAATTCAACCAGACACTAGATAAATCACTAATCTGCCTATCTTCACATGGTTTAGTCTGTCAGACGCTGTCAAGATAAGTAGATCAAAAATGATCGGTAATGACCAAATTATAAGTTTATTTCATTTCAGACCACATGGAGAAATCTCACGTTTTAATTTACCTGTGCGGCTTGAAGGCGTAGTTTGGCTTCTTGCACTGCGTCTCTTTTAGATGTAAGCCCCCTTTCTCTCAGGCTCGTCCTGCGTACCGAATGGGCCCTCGAGTTGTTGCTCTGGCTCCTCCTGACGCGCCTTTTCTCAGCCATTTTTTTACTTTCCTGTTCAGTTTTCAACTCGACGATGCGTTCTCTCAATTCTGGGTCTTCGCAAATATCGGCTGGCGTTTCGTCGTGCTTTGTCCTTGCATTTAAATCCGCTCCATTTTGCACCAACAACTCCAACACTTCAATCTAATATAATAAATATATAGTTTTAAATTATAATATCTTATTTTTGTTTTAAAATATGACATACATGGCCCCAACAAGCCGCTGCGTGAACAGGCTGCCAGCTGTCATTGTCCTTTCTGTCAGTAGAAACGTGATGATCGAGGAGGAACTCTACCACCCTTTGATACCCATTTGCAGCAGCGATATGAAGCTAAAAAATTGTCAAATCAGAAGAGGCTGTGACCGACGGAAAGAAAACTTACAGGCGTGGCTCCTTGCTCATCGGCATCTTCCAACCCCAGCACGCCAGTCGCGAGGTCTTGTAACATCGTGGTCTCCCTAGCAGCCCTCGTCTCATCGATAATCGCCTGTGTCACTCCCCTTGCAGCCATGGCACCTTCAATCTCCTCCAAAGACAGTTCATCTTCGCAGATATCATACGGCATATTTCCATCACCATTTACAGCCAGAAGATTTGCACCGCTAAAATTTAATAAATCAAATAAACAAAATCCCAACACTATTATTAAAGAATTTACTTGTTTATGAGGTGTTTAACAAGATGAAGATGACCACAAGTCGCCGCTGCATGAAGTGGCGTCCATCTTTCAGTATCCTCGGCATTCACATTCGCTCCAAATTCTAATAATAGTTTCATCATTTCTTCATTATCGTCAATACAACACTAAAAAATACATAATCAGAAAAGAAGAAAAAAAAAAAGAAGAAATTATATTGAATGTTACTTGGTGTAGAGCGGTCAGCCCGTCTTCGTTGGTCGAGTCAGGGCTGACACCCCGTTCGAGAAGCCTTTTGACCTCGGCGATGTCATTCCTCGAAGCGGCTTCAAGAAGTATTACATTATCGCTGAATCTAATCCCAGGTTTTTTACTCTTGTGTACGGGCCGAGTCTTGAGCCATTCTCGCTCCCTCATGGCCCAAGATTTCAACTGAGCCCTCCGCCTCCGCCTAGCCAGCTGCAGTCGGTCCTGGGTCGACATCCTCTCGATGGTTGGCATCTCCAGGACCAACTCAGCATGATCCATGGCGGCTAAAATACAAAAAAACATAGTTTACATAGATTTCAATTAATTATTCTTTCACGGGATCCCAGTTGTGATTTCATCTCAATCAAAACCTTAGATAAAAGTAATAATTAATTTAAAAAATTAATGCAGTCAATTATGTCCGCTATTTATATAGTTAGCTCTAAACAACAAAATAGGAGGCACACTATCAAAATGTCTGTCTATTTCTTGAGTCTAATTGAATAAAAATAAATTATTTATTACAATTTAGGACTGTGTGAACAATTAGTATGTCATTATCTGTTTTTAGAATATTTATTATTACTACTTAGATTTCATGAAATCAATTTATTGCTACTTTGACTATGGTTGATGATTCAGATTAATCAGTCAATAATTATCATGCATCTTCTTCCACCACCACGTAGATGCTGTATTTGTATTAATTAGATGAATTTTATGTATATATTCAAGAACCTGTTTGATGATACTTTTTAATTATTATTGCTTGGTTTTATGAACTGACAATTTTTACTACTTTGAACTATGTCTGATGTGAGTTCAATTGTCAATAGTCATAGATGTCTATTTTCTTCCACTGCCACGTACATGTATTTATATTAATTATATTAATTTTATGTACATATTTCATATAACTCAGTCTGATTGGGGTGAGCTACATTTTTTTAATTATTACTGTTTGGATCATATGAACAGTAAAATTATTACTAATATGAATTTTGGTTGATAATTCAGTTCAATCATAAATAGTCATCATGCATCTGTTTTCTTTGACAGCACTGGCAGACAAACCTCTCCATCACTGTCAGCATGCATACAGAGCAGGAAGATCAACAGAAAGTACACTATACCAGCTAACCAGTGACCTAAAGGAAATAGCAATCTGCGCATCCCTCGATATTGAGGGAGCCTTCGACAATGCATCTCATGCATCAATGAAGGTCTCTCTAGGTAAACAAAACACGTAGACCAAACCACATCCAGATGGATTGGAGAAATGCTAAGAACTAGAATAGTTGAAACAAAAATAGGAACAGACACTATAGAAGTAAGCACAACCAAAGGACGTCCTCAAGGAGGGATATTGTCACCTCTTCTATAGCCTAACAGTTGATGAACTGCTCAAGACCCTGGACTGTACAGGGATAAAATGTCAGGGATACGGACATAGTTCTAACTACCAGGAGAAAATTCCAGGAAACTCTCTGTGACATAATACAAGAGGGTCTAAAAATCACAGAAGGATGGTGTAAAACCGCTGACTTAGGAATCAACCCTAATAAAACAACTATAGTCGCTTTTACACGGAAAAGGAAACTAGATCACATGAGGCAAATAACACTCAATAATACCGTGATAGAAATCAAAAAAGAAGTCAAACATCTGGGCATCACACTAGATAAAACACTAGCGTTTAGGAAACACATTGGCTCTGCCGTCATGAAAGCGATGTGAGCTTTGATGGTCTGCAGAAGAATAACAGGAAGGAACTGGGGATGCAGACCGGAAACCCTGCTATGAATGTACACCATGATAGTAAGACCTATACTTACATACGGAGCTATAGCCTGTGCTGACAAAGCAGAACAAGTAACTAAAAGGAAAGAAATCACAAAAATACAAAGACTTGTATGCATCTATATAATGGGAACAATGAAAACATGTCCTACAATTAGCATGAAAAAGTACTGGGATTAATCCCCATACACCATTCTGCGGTAATAAGCGCAGAAAACTATCATTAATTTTACGAAAGAGAAACCTCCAACAGGAGGTTGGAATAAAACTAAAATGGAGAGATAGCAACAAACTATGGCAAGACCATCCGATACTCATGGCTCCGAGAGATGACATGAACAGGATGTTTGAATTTAATCAAAACTTCCGAATAAACCTAGGTACCAAAAAAGAATAGGAATGAGAGGGAAACACCTCTTTCAAGAATGGCACCATCCTTTGGTACACAGATGGATTTAGAACACAAGAAAGTACAGGGGCAGGAGTATTAGGACCTGGAACCAAATACTCAGAACCCATGTGAAAATACACCAGTATCTTCCAAGCTGAGATTCATGCAATCGAAAGACCCAACTCAACCTAAGTAAAGGGTACAAAAACAAGAATATAGCTATCATGTCAGATAGCCAAGCAGCCATCAAAGCACTAAGCTCAAATATCAAGGATGGTGCTGAAGTGCAAAACCAAACTAAACATATTTGGTACGCAGAACAAAGTCAGCCTCTGGGCCCCAGGACACATGGGAGTAGAAGCCGGACACCCTTGCAAGGCAAGGAGCTGCTACACTGCTGACAGGACCTGAACTTTTCTGTGGCATAAGAACCCACACTATTAACGAGTATCTCAAGGCAAAAAGAAAATGAGGGAACTATGGAATTCACTCATTGGACACAGACAAACCAAGAATCTTCTAACCAATTTTGGAAGGAAAGAAATTACAGAATGTGTCAAGGGAATCAGGAATAAACTGCGAATCCTAATAGGATTCCTAACAGAACACTGCAAGTTAAATGGACACTTAAAGAAGATTGGAACAATCCAAAATGGCACATGCAGATTCTGCAAAGAGGCAGAAGAGACACCAACACATCTATAACAAACTGCGGAGCTACACTAGCTCGCAGGAGGAAATATTTTGGGATGTATAATGTGACCATAGAAGAGCTTCAACCACTGAAACCAGGCCTGTTAATCAAGTTTCTTGATGAAATAGGACTCACCGATATGTACTTTAGGCAGAGCACGGGGGATACAATAGCTCTTAAAGGGCACAGTATACTATACCCTGAAATTACATCTACATCTGTTTTCTTCCACCACCATTTAGTTGCTGTATTTTTATTAATTAGATGAATTTTATGTATATTTCATGAAAACATGTATGATTGAGGTGTGCTACTTTTTTTTTTTTAAATACAGGGTTCGCAACAGCAGAGGTCATATCAATCCTCAGGGTGCCAGTGCTTAAAAAAAAAATCCCATTTGTAAATATGTCGGGGTTTGAATGCAGGCTCCTAGGTTCGAATCCGTGCCAAGTGATGAGCTTCTAATTATTATTGCTTGGATTTTATGAACAGACAATGTAGCGCTACTTTCAACTAAGTCTGATGATTCAGTTCAATCAGTCAATAGTTGCCATGCATCTGTCTTCTTGCACTACTAAGTACATGCTGTATTTTTACTGATTAAATTAATAGTATATATTGTATATTCTATTCAAATCTTCTTGATTGAGGTGAACCATATCATTTGTTAAATTATTATAGAATTGATTTTATGAGCAGTTAATTTATTCCTAATTTCAACTATGGCTGATGATTCTGTTCAGTCAGTCAATAGTTGCCATGCATCAGTCTTCTTTCACTTCTCAGTACTTGTTTTATTTATATTAGATTAATTTTATGTACATATCATACAACTCTGATTGAGATGAGCTATATTTTTTTTAATTACTGTTTGAATTTTACGAACAGTAAAATTATTGCTATAATTTGAATTATGGTTGATAATTCGGTTCAATCGTCAACAGTCATTAGGTGTCGGTTTTCTCCCACTACCACATACAGTGATTCACAGATTTGTTCACATCGGTAAACCATTTTCAATTATCTCTAGTCTGCAAATCCCATACTTTTTAATCCCAGACAACAAACAGCAACAGGAATGAGTTCTTTAAACTGTTAGTAAACAGAAATTTCACCCTAATATTCTTTATTCATGTTTACATCTTTGAACTGAGCCAGTTTATTATGAGTCTTCATGTGAACAGTTTTGTGTCATGGGTTACTTCAATTCAAATTTTGCAAAAACCATTCAATAATTCGTCTCAAATTTGTTATCAGGTATGAACAATTTAGTTATTTTTCTTACATATTGAAAATATTTCCTTTCCTTAATGGTTTTGGTCTATTCTGTTTAATTACATGATGCTTGTATGAAGCCATTTTCAACATTTTTGAAAGATCAAATAATGATATCTCTACAAGAAGGACTTCCTTATTGTGAAATTTCAAAAAAATATAAATGCTCTATTGGGTTAATAACAAAACAAGATCTTCCAGAATTTCCAATAATTGTTTTAAAAAGAACAGTAATGGTTCTAAAAAAAAATTTCCGAGGCCAAAAGGCGTTGTATCATAAGCTCCATTCGATCAGGAGAGATTGACAATGCTGTCCAAATTCAGCGTAGGCTGCGTGATAATGATAATAAATGCCACAAGTTGCTTCGCTTGAATTTTGCACAAAAAAAAAAAAAAACTACACAGAGGAAATGTGGGATAACGTGATTTGGTCTGATGAAACCAAAATTAACAGATTAGTGTCAGATGGGAAAGTTTGGGTTTAGAAGGGAAAGAAAGAACCCTTAAGTTCTCAAACGGTCCTACCTATGTAAAATTTAGTGGTGGGAACACGATTTGGAGTTGCATGACATCAAGTGGTGTTGGAGTGCTTCATAGAATATCAGGATGAATGAATGCTGTGGATTACGTTAACATTCTCGAGGACAGTTTGTTAAGATCCCTAGAAAATTGGGGCAAATCCATTGACGAGGTCCTATTTCAGCATGACAATGACCCCAAACATACGGCCAGGCTGACCAAACAGTGGCTTGCCGATCGTGGTTTTAATGCCATGGAATGGCCCCCACAGTCACCTGACCTTAATCCAATTGAGCACTTGTGGGGAACACTAAGAAAAGATCTTTAGTCGATTCTGCAGAGGACGCTTCAAACTTGGATTTTGGGAAAAAATACAAATTGAATGAGGCCTAATTGATCCAGAACAGTGCAGAAATCTCGTGAGAAGTATGCCCAGAAGGATTGATGCAGCTTTGAAAGCTAAAGGAGGACATACAAAATATTAAAGGACTTTCTATGACAATCATATTATAGTTTACAGATGGTAATTTCTTTTATATTATTTTAATAATATGATAAAGGATCAATTTAATTTTTTGGTGTTTTTTTGTGTTAAGATAAATAAAATTATTTAAAAAACTACGTTTACTTGATTTCCTACAATTGTTTTGCAAAGTAAATAATGAAATAACACAATTTGTATACCTATATCTGTGAAGTGAACAAATCTGTGAGTCACTGTATATGCTGTATTTTTATTAATTAGATTAATTTTATGAACAGTCAATTTATTGCTAATTTGCCCTATGTCTGATGATTCAGTCCAGTCAGTAAGTCACTAAGACGTACATGCTGCATTTTTATTAATTAGAAGAATTTTACGTATATATTTATCCATTTATGTTTAGTGGTTTAATTGACTAAATTATTTCTTTCAATTAATTATTCTTTTTATGTAAGGTCTTGCTTGAGATGGAAAAGTTAGCGTCACGAGCGGGATTCGAACCCATGACCTTCGGCTCAATACGCCGCTGCTCTAACCACTTGACCTATATATAGAAGCAACGTAGTGAACCAAAGACCGTGGGTTCGAATCCCTCTCGTGACGCTAACTTTTTCATCTCAACCAAGACCTTACATAAAAAGAACAATTTATGTATATATTTAAAAAAACCTGTTTGATTGAGGTGAGCTGATTTTTTTTTAATTATTACTGTTATGGCTTTATTAAGTTAATTTATTGCTACTGAACTTGGACTATGACTGATGATTCAATTCAATCAGTGAATTACTGCCAGGCATATGGTCTTCTTCCATTACCATGAACATGCTACATTTTTATTAATTAGATGAATTTTATTTATATTCCATGAAAACCTGTTTGATTGTTTTGAACTATAGTGTATGTTGAATTATTATAACTTGTAATTTGAACTAGGGCTTATGGTTCTATTCAGTTGGTCAATAGTCGTCATGCATGCCTTCTACTACTATCACATATATGCTGTATTTTTATTAATTAAAAGAATTTTATGTACATATTTCATACAAATCTGTTTGATTGAGGTGAGCTATGATATTTTTTAATTATTATTGTTTGGATTTTATGAACAGACAATTTATAGCTACTTTGAACTATGGCTGATGAGTCAGTTCAATTGTCAATAATCATCATATATTTATGTTTTCCATTATAAAGTACATGTTGTGTTTATATTAATTAGATTAATTTTATGTACGTATTTCATACAAATCTGTTTGATTGAGGTGAACTATGATTATTTTTTAAAATATTACTTTTTGGGTTTTATGAATAGACAATTTATTGCTACTTTGAACTATGGCTGAGGATTCAGTTCAATCGTCAATAATCATCATTTATCTGTCTTCTTCCTTTATTAAATACATGCTGAGTTATATTATTAATTACATTAATTTTATTTACATGTTATACAAATTGTGATTGAGGTGAGCTATGATATATTTTAATTATTATTGTTTGGATTTTATGAACAGACAATTTATAGCTACTTTGAACTATGGCTGATGATTCAGTTCAATCGTCAATAATCATCAAATATTTATGTTTTCCATTATAAAGTACATGTTGTGTTTATATTAATTAGATTAATTTTATGTACATATTTCATACAAATCTGTTTGACTGAGGTGAACTATGATAATTTTTAAAATTATTACTGATTGGGTTTTATGAAAAGACAATTTATTGCTACTTTGAACTATGGCTGATGAGTCAGTTCAATTAGTAAATAGTCGTCATGCATCTGCCTTCTTCCACCACCATGTAGATGCTGTATTTATATTAATTAGATTAGTTTTATGTATATAAAAAAATCGTTTGATTGAGGGAGCTACAATGGTTTTTCTATTTTTTCTTTTATGAGGGCTCACAAAAGCATAGGTCATGCCAACCCTTGGGGTACCAGTGTTTTTGAAAAAAACGCGCATTTGTAAATGACTAAGCATTGCATTCTAATTATTATTGCTTGGATTTTATGAACAGACGACAGATTTATGCTACTTTGAACTATGACTGATGATTCAATTCAATCAATGAATCGCTGCCAGGCATCTGGTCTTCTTCCACTACCACATACATGTTGTTTCTATTAATTAGATGAATTTTATGTATATTCCAGAAAAACCTGTTTGATTATTTTAGGCTAGTGTTTTTCGAATTATTATAGCTTGGAATTTGAACTATGGCTGATGGTTCTGTTCAGTGGTCAATAGTTGTCATGCAAGCCTTCTACTACTACCACATATATGTATCTTTATGTATTAGATGATTTTTATGTATAGATTCCTCTACAAACCTGTTTGGTCGGTTCGAGTCATATTGATAATTGAAAGCTTTGTTGAAAACTAGTTTACTGTGTGTTAAAAATCTACTAATTGTAGAATAATGGAGAGAAAGATTCCATGTAAATTAAAGGACAGTTATTTCTTAAGAGTTTTTATATCCATAACCTTCGGTGCAATAAATTATTGTTATTCAATGATCCTTGACATTTCGAGACTTCGGATAAAAGCGTGCGACCCGTTTCCTGTTACAAAGTCTTTTTCTTTCCCACACCTTATTATTTAAAAAAAAAAGTATTACTCCATCTCAATTTACCTGTTGATCTATCCGGTTTATATGCACCTTTTGGGGGGGATTTTACGGCTCGCACCTCGACCCGAAGGCCGGTGAACACGCGGGGGTTTCGGAATAATAAAAAGATAATAAAAAAATAATAATAAAATAACAGGACGGAATCGGCGTTTTCCCCCTTTTTTTGGTCTCTCTCTCTCTCTCTCTCTCTTTTGACCGGGGTTCAACAGCTGAGACGGGCCGACGATCCCCTCCCAGGGCTCCTCCCCGTTCTCAATCCTTTCATCACTTTCTACACCTTTCACTCCAATTAAAAAACTTTTTTATTTCATATAATCCATATGAAATGTGTTAAGGGACTTTCATTTTTCTCTACCTGTCGTCTTTAAGATCATGATTCCATAACGCCGGGTGCTGTTTTACAAAGCAACCTGTTTTCAAACTTTACAAAACAACAAAAATTAAACAAAGCAACATTTATTCTATTATTATTAATCAATGAACCTCATTTAACACAGAACAAAGCTAGATGATAGATGTGTTAGTCAGGGTGTGTATTATACTGCGTTCTTTAAGAGCTATTGTAACCCCCATTCTGTGCTTAAAATCACACTAGTAAGTCCTAGTTCATCAAGGAAGTAGATTAGTAGGCCCAGCTTCAGTGGTTGAATCTCTTCTATTACATTGTATATCCCAAAACACTTTCTTTGGCGTGTGTAGCACCATCACAGTTTGTTAGTAGGTGTCTCTTCAGCTTATTTGCAGAATCTGCACTTGCAAACAGAACAAACCTAGATGATAGATGCATGCACTCTTTAAGAGGTATTGTATTCCCCATTCTGTGCTTAAAAGCACACTAGTAAGTTCTAGTTCATCAAGGAACTTGATTAGTAGGCCCAGTTTCAGTGGTTGAATCTCTTCTATGGTTACATTACTTTGGGCATGTGTAGCACCATCACAGTTTGTCAGTAGGTGTGTTGGGGCCTCTTCAGCTTCTTTGCAGAATCTGCACTTGCAATCAGAACAAACCTTTTTTCATTTGACACAGAACAAAGTTAGATGATAGATGCATGCACTCTTTAAGAACTATTGCATCCCCCATTCTGTGCTTAAAAGCACACTAGTAAGTTCTAGTTCATCAAGGAACTTGATTACTAGGCCCAGTTTCAGTGGTTGAATCTTCTACAGTTACATTACTTTGGGCACGTGTAGCACCATCACAGTTTGTCAGTAGGTGTGTTGGGGTCTCTTCAGCTTCTTTGCAGAATCTGCACTTGCAATCTGAACAAACCTCTTCTCATTTGACACAGAACAAAGCTAGAAGCATGCACTCTTTAAGAGCTATTGCATCCCCCATTCTGTGCTTAAAAGCACAATAATAAGTCCTAGTTCATCAAGGAACTTGATTAGTAGGCCCAGTTCAGTGGTTGAATCTCTTCTACAGTTACATTTCTTTGGGCGTGTGTAGCACCACCACAGTTTGTTAGAAGGTGTGTTGGGGTCTCTTCAGCTTCTTTGCAGAATCTGCACTTGCAATCAGAACAAACCTCTTCTCATTTGATACAGAACCAAGCTAGATGATAGATGCATGCACTCTTTAAGAGCTGTTGCATCCCCCATTCTGTACTTAAAAGCACACTAGTAAGTTCTAGTTCATCAAGGAACTTGATTAGTAGGCCCAGTTTCAGTGGTTGAATCTCTTCTACGGTTACATTACTTTGGGCATGTGTGGCACCATCACAGTTTGTTAGTAGGTGTGTTGGTGTCTCTTCAGCTTCTTTGCAGAATCTGCACTTGCAATCAGAACAAAGCTTCTTATTCTTTTAAAGCCCGTCATATTTCATTTTCAATTATCTAATGTCTATAAGAAAATTTCACAGATATCCATTGATACATTCGACTCAGGATCTGATGGTGACTTCTCAAACTTCAAAAATATACCCTCAGTGAAGTTGTTTTGCAGCTTCTTAAACAATCATATATAAACAGTTGGAATTATATCTGTTTGGTTCCAAATCAAAGTAGGTTCAGGTGTCCTCACGGCTAACTCTTGGGTCTAACCCTTTTTCACTTATTCTTCAGTGACTTGACTTTAGACAATAACTGTTTCTTTCTATTTTTAATATGATCATCTTGCTCTTTAGTTTTCAGTCAATGATTTACACCAGTGGTGCGATGACATCTTTAAACTTGGACAAATGTTTTTGTTTATTACTTATTGTACTTAAAAAGCAATCCATCTGGCTCAATACAAAATTCAACCTTCATACAAAAACCATCTTCACAAGAGACTAACCGAGGAGGATCCTCTCGTGTTTTCACAAATTATGACGAATTGATTCTGTCTGTATATTTCTATTGTCTGACTGGTACTTTAATATGCATACTGTTTAGTCATTGCTGAATTACTTTTTCTTCACAGCTTACCAATAATATCGATTCTATAGAACAGTTCTTGAATCTTAAATTCCATTCTGCATACCAGCAGTAAAATGTTCTTCTACCAGCATTCCTGTATGCAAATAAATAAATGTTACATCCCTTCTTGATAAGGTAGACTTCCCAGTTTGAAATACTGATATGAATTTTTCTTTTTTTCTGCTGTATGCAGGTATGCTGTTCTTCGGTGTGCTTAATTGTTCCTAAAAGTTGCTGGTAGAAAAATAGTATCCTTGGACGGTAGAAAAATTTAGCCTGATTGCTGATTCAGTAGATGTATGTTCTACAACCGCACTGCCAGAATAAAAACCTTTGAAATGTCATAAATAAAACCCATTAAATCAAAAAAAGTCATTACAGGAAAAAAAATTTAGAAAATTTAAAAAATCTCTTGGTCAGTAAATAACATAGCTTGGTCTTTTCTGATCCCGATTTGTCTATCCTTCCTGCTTTAGCCTGTCAGACATGTTTCAGCTTTTCTCACCATATTCGGAAGTAGTTTTGTGTGTTATTTTGTTAATAAGTTTGTAAAATATCAATGCATATTTTAGAAGCAATGAGAAATGATCAGACCAAACAATTTACAGTTTAATTGTCTTTAGCGTTTTATAATATATATATAGATTTTTTTTAAAAAATTAAATACAACTTTTAAAATGGTTATCAAGCAATATAAATTTGTATGATACAAAAAATGGTACGTTTAACTCATCTGTGTATAAAAATTAATGCTTATCGAATACAACTGTATTGTAAGAAATTGACCGTTTGAAAGTTCGCTTGTGAATCGGCAAGCGGCATCAGGCCCGATCGCTCTACGGGCGAGTGGATTTTGATCTGCCTGATGTGAGTATCCCGCCCATTTTGGTGGTTGCTCATTATCGCAATCTGTATCATGAACGTCCTCAGCTGTTTCGCTTTGGCGTCCTTGACCGGTATGACGATCCAACCTGCCGGCTCGTGCAGGTCGAGTACTTCAATCTCCTGTATGTCGTTGTAGCTCGTACCGGCTCTGATCGACACCCTACAAAGGTTCAAAAGTGAAATCTTCCATTTAATATTAAACTATTCGTACAAACCTGGACGGCGTGTAGCTTTCGTCGAGTTTAAAATCAGTGTATATGCAGACGTCCGACACCGTCGTCTTTCTCCTAAACTGTATGCTTACAAGATGCGGCAGACCACCGTCCGACTGCCAGTACGTGTCTAATAAATCATCCCTTAGCTGATCCACACCAAAGCCTTAATGCCGTTGTAACATAAATTATTATTACTTTAAAAAAATCTTCAAGGTGGGATAAAATGTCCTCTGTAAAAAGTATTCACCGGGTTTACAGGAAGATAACGACCAGATTGATTGACTTCCGACCTCCCTTAATTTTCCAAGCCTTACATCGCGGAATAAATCGTTCTCTGCCGGTTTTGTTTCTGATTGCTTTTCATCTTCTTTTTCCATTTGCACGACTTATTATTATTATTGTTATTTTTTAAACAAAAAATAAACGTTTTAACTTAATTTGAAAACTGTATAACAGTTTATTACCTTCAAACTTCAAACGACCATAACTGACTGTGAGGTACCTCGAACTACCCTACAGATAGTAGCACATATAGACCCTCAAAGTTTAAAAAATAATAAAGTAACATGTTGATTATCCATTCAAATAATAATTATATTATAAAAAACCATATATCAAAATTAAGAAGAAAAATATGAATGCTTAAATTGCCTAAAATTGACTTAAAGGATAGTTAAATATGTATGTAGTTTGTACAGTTGGTTTGTATTTATTTCCCGGGTATGTTTAGTTCGGGTACAAATGACCAGAGCGCTCATAGTTAAACAATGTTGGTTATCCTCTGTTTATGTTTATGTTTCTTTACATTATCAATACTGATGGTCCATTAGAAAAAAATCGATTGATTGTAAAATGCCTGTAGACATTACGAGGCTGACGGAAGGCTGGCTGGAGCTGGAAAGTGACCCGGGGCTTTTCACCCTCCTCCTGGAAGACTTCGGGGTCAAAGGTGTCCAGGTGGAAGAGATCTACGATCTGCAGAAGTCGTTGGAAGGGCCGGTATACGGTTTTATATTCTTGTTCAGATGGATCGAGGAGAGGAGGTCGAGGAGGAAAATAGTGGATCAGAGCGAGATGTACGTCAACGACGAGGAGATAGTCAACAATATATTTTTCGCCCAGCAGATGGTAATTAATAATTGTTAATAAAGGATATAGTTGTAGGATCAAATTGGTTTGCGTTAAAGGTACCCAACAGCTGCGCGACGCATTCTCTCCTGTCTGTTCTTCTCAACTGTGCTAATATACAGTTAGGGTCGACGCTTAGTCGGCTGAAGGGACATACTGTGGGCATGGACCCGGAAAACAAGGGCTGGGCGATCGGCAACAGCCCCGAGCTGGCACGCGCGCACAATTCGCACGCGATGCCCCAGGCGAAACGCCGGCTGGATAAATCGTCCGGCGTCTCGACCGGCAGGTACACAGGCGAAGCGTACCACTTTGTCAGCTATGTACCGATAAATGGTCACCTTTTTGAACTGGACGGGTTGAAACCGTCTCCGATCGACCACGGCCCTTGGGACAATGGAGAAGACTGGACTGAAAAGTTCCACAGGGTGATAGCAGACAGGCTCGGGGAAAAGTACAATGACATCAGGTAAAAAGAAATTTTTTCAGATAAATGTTTGATCCACTTACTATAACTCTCCATCTCAATTTAATTGTTGTCACTGACTCTTGGTGTCAGAATCTGACTCCATCTCAACCGACACTAACTCATGGTCTGTGTATCTGATTCCATGTTAACCAAACTGACTTTTTCACCCTGGTCACAATAATCCTGTCTACAATTTGATCGCACATATTTAACATACATATCCATAAAATTGTACATTACATTATGTATATAAAGCTTTTTTACGCAGAAAACAAACACTTTGAGTGAGTCGAAATACTTTGATTGAATATAAAAAATATTTTTTTTTTTATTGTATAAATTCACTTTTTTCCACATCCTACATGTATTTGTTAAATTTAAACAATGCTTGTAAATCCCAGGCCCTGAAGATATCTCAATAAAGATCGAAACATTGGCATGATAAAGGAAATGTTTTTCTGAAACCTACGTCACATCTCATGATTTCTGAATAATAAAGCTTTTTATTCTCTCCTTAGATTTAGAATGTACCAAAATTTAAATGATTTACAAAAGTTAAGAATGCACTCAGGTGCCTTTCCTCTAACACTATGCTGTACCTTCCAACTTGATTCTTGCAGCAGTACTTCTCTCTAAAGCTTGAGCCTGGTCCTTTCCTTTAGCTCGCAATCAAAAAGCCATCCCACATCTAGACTGCTACCTCGCTATCCACCTTTAGGGTTTTCAATTAATTTAAAACAATGTAAATACTCTTTAGCTTTTCCATGACTGCTTAAAATTTGGGTATTTTTATTGTGTGAGCAAGTTGAGCCTTCCTACTTGCAAAATTGCGGGGAAAACACCTTTTCATGTGGAATCCTTGCTCTGTTTCAAGTACCTTCCAGAATTCTACTTTCATATCGTTGTTCATTGCCGCCTCCTATGCCTCTTGGTCTGCTGCCTTATTTCCTTTATTATCGATATGAGCCTTGACCCATTGGAATGCTATTTCCCAACCTTTACTTTTTAGGCATTGTAGGCAAGGTCTTTTTGATAATATTGGATGATGGCTCTGGTTATAACCATTCCTCAGTACTTCTAAGGCTACTTGGCTATCTGCTTTGATGGTCGCTGATTTTGGACCTTCCAATTTGTTGTCCTGTTCCAAGATTAATGATTTGGAGAATTAAATTGAGTTACTGGCTGCTGAAAGGGGCCATTCTTCAGGCGTCTGGTTCCAGGTCTGGTCCGCTGATAACCAAACTTGGTCTGAAGCATCTGACACCGTCTCAACTGACACTGACCAACGGTCTCTGAATCTGGCACCTGGCACCATCTCAACCAACACTGACTGACGGTCTGTGCATCTTACTCCATCTTAACCGAACTGACTTAGGGTCTTAAGAATCTGTCATCGTCTAAACAGACACACTGACCCACGGTTTCTGAATCTGACTCCATCTTAACCAAACATTCATGATCTAAGAATTTGACTCCATTTCAACTGACACTGACTCACAGTCTATCTTTTTAATAAGTTAGCTTAAAAGTAGGCCAGGTGATAACATATGTATGATAACGTATATGCTGAAAGATAAGCTGGAAGTGTGTGGTGATTAGTGACTGTTAATCGATATTTATTTTGAAATCGTGAGATGCGGTCTGGTGTGATGTAGGTTTCAGAAAAACATTTTCTTTATCGTGCCAAAGTTTCGATCTTTATTGAGATCATCTTCAGGGCTCAAAGTGTTTGTCTTCTGTGTAATTGTGCCATTCTTGCGTATCATGTCGAGAGTGCCCACTATAGGCACGATAAAGAAAATGTTTTTCTGAAACCTGCATCACACCAGACCGCATCTTACGATTTCTAAATAAATAAGCTGGAAGGTTTGTAAAAGCTGGACAAGGGTCAATACAATAAGGATAGAGTGAAAATGACCAAACTAAGGTTACTAAGGGCAGTAAATTGAAGGATTTCCCATAGTAGAGTTTGAAGTGGGGAAGGCCACTATAGTTGACCGTCATCATCATAGGACTATAAAAATTACAATCCCCTGACCAAAATGAGTTCAAATCCCTAAACTCTATTTTTATTTTAGATTCAATCTGATGGCTGTGGTTCCGGATAAACGTTTGGCCTTAACCCACAGGCTAAACATGCTTCGAACAAACAGACAGATAGTTCTAGACGCCCTTCAACAGTTGGTGAGCGATCGATGCGAAGGTGGAGACGAAGTTTCACTCGTTATCGGAGAAGAGATTAAAGATTACACGACGCCGATCGTCATCAGGACGTCCGAAGAGGACAAATTCATCGTGATACGCGTTCCGAAGGGGGACAAGCAAGAAGAGTCGCAAGGGCTCCAGAGGACGTTCTCGCCTAAGGACTTGTTGGCGCTTCTCAAGAACCTCGATTCAGAAGTCTCCTCGACTGAGGCTTCCCTCCGCGAAGAAAATGACAAGAGGAGAAGGTATAAAATCGATGACTGCCGTCGGACGCACAACTATGACGAGTTCATATGCACTTTTCTTTCGATGCTGGCCGAACAGGGCAAGCTGACTGAACTCGTCGTCCCACCTTCAGTCGTCCCGAAGAAAGTAGTCGTAACCAAAAGGACTCAGGAACGACAGAATAAAAAGAAAACAAAACAGAGAAGAAGAAAATAATTACTCGCTTTGATAATTAAGAAAGCATTTTTATGATCCTTCCGTTTGAATTCTAATGACAAGCAATAATTTATTATTAGAAAAATAAAGAAATGAATTTCAATGAATCTATTCAGAGGCATGAAATGGAAAAAAGGTTTTTCCAGTTTTGATACTATTGTAAATATTTTGTATATATATTTTATACTTGTTAAATATTATAAATATATCTATTTGAAGCTAATAAATGTTTATATTTATGGGGGAGAAAAGCTGGTAAGACAATATTCATTGTGCATTGTCCCCAATAATCATAGTTCTATTTAATAAGTCAGTTTCAGCAGGAGTTTACACTGATATTTTTAAAGGTATCTTGATCATTCCTTTATATATGGGCGGTCTTCGAATTTACCATTTTGTAGTCATTGGCATTAGATATATTTTTGTTGCTTTGCTCAGCTTTGTTAGCAATGCGCTAGTGTCAGGGCATCAGTTATATGTGATATGGACTTTTGATTAAGTTATCACTCAGATCGCAGGAGATCGGGGCAGCCGAGTGCTCATGGCGACTGACTCGTATTTGCCACGTTAGTAGCTTTGGGTTTGAATCCTGGAAGAGACCATGGCTTTTTAATAGATTATGGTTTGCTAAATGTATTATAAAGTTTGACCATGCAACATGCAATGCTTAAGTGCATGTTAAGCCCTCCTGTATGATCTATTTTCATTTAGACTTAATGATTATGGCATTCGTGAGATGTTGCTTAGCTGATCAATATATTTCCAATGACACCTGTGTACCCCAAGGATCACTTCTAGGACCATTTCTTTTTAAGCCGTTTATTAATGAAATTTATTAATGAGTAGTGAATTGTTTCATTACTATTTTGAGAGAGTTTTATGGTCTCACTAATCTTTTGTGAAAGTTTTTCAAAGTCTCACTTCTATTTTGTGAAAGTTGTTCATGGTCTCGCATAATTATTTAATATTTTGTGAGAGAGTTTTATGATCTCACTAATATTTTGTGAAAGTTGTTCATGGGCTTGCTTAATTATTGAATATTTTGTGAAAGAGTTTTGTGGTTTCACTAATATTTTGTGAAAGTTTCTTATGGTCTCGCTTAATGATTGACTATTTTGTGAGATAGTTTATGGCCTCACTATTATTTTGTGAAAGTTTTTCATGGTACTATTTTGATGAGAAATTTTTTACAGTTTCAACTAATGATTTACAATTTTGTGAGAGGTTTATGAACTCACTAACATTTTGTGAGAGATCTTTTTGGTCACTACTCTTTTTAGATAATTTTTCATGGTCTCACTAATATTTTGTGAAAATTTTTCATTGTCTTGCATAATGATTTACTATTTTGTGAGAAAGTTTCATGGTCTCACTAATATTTTGTGAAAATTTTTCATTGTCTCGCATAATGATTTACTATTTTGCGAGAAAGTTTTATGGTCTCACTAATGTTTTGTGAAAGGTTTTCATAGTGTCACATAAGAATCTACCTTTTTGTGAGTTTTACAAGCTCACACTATTTCGTGTCAATTTTTCCATGGTCTCACTGCTACTTTGTAAGTATTTTTCATGGGCTGACACAATACTCTACTTTTTTGTGATCTTTATTCAGATATCGTGAGATGCGGTCGGGTTTGTGATCGTTTTTCTCATACAATGATCTATTTTATGAGTTTTTCAATCCCCTCTTACAAGTAAATTCTTCTCTGCAGGTTCACTGATGGTCAATCAATTTCTAATTTTTAATTTGTTTCCTTTTTTAATTTAGCCTTGTCTATACATAAAAATAATGGTTGTACTTTAATACATGTAATATAGACATGAAGAAACTTGTCCATACCACCTTTGGCTACTTTGCTAAAAATTCATAATAAATGTGTGTTTCTTAGTGACCTGTTATTTCATAATTTGTTGAAGTCGTGAGGAAGTTTAGAATGAGGTAGTTTAGAAACACACCTTTTTCATTCTTTAAATGTCAGCAAAAAAGTAAAAAAGGTGTTTTTCTAAACTACCTCATTCTTGATGACTTCAACAAATTTTGGAATTACTGTAAATGGATATTATACCCTTTGAACGGTTGAGTTTTTATCCTGATTTAATTTTATTTCAGGTATTACTTTAAACATATACAACTTTACTTTATTTTTAAATTTAATTTCTGCTTTATGCATTGCTTGACTGTTGGCATAGTGAATTTTTAGTCTGCAATTTTCTGGTCGTATAAGAATTTCTAATTATGTATTTATTTATTTTCTGACTTGATGAATTCTTTTTTAAGAAGAAAGTTTTGGTAAAATGGTAGATTTGTAGAAAAATTAATGGTCATTCAACCCTTTGTCAAAGGAGTCTTTGCCCTGAATTGATTTCTTCTGGAGGGGGCTCCGACATGGGGAAAATCACACCTAAAAAAAGGTCAAAATTTTCACAAAAAAAAACCCAATTTGATGGAATTGTTCAAGCAGTTTTATACTTAAAAACGAGTCAAATGGTCAAATTTAATCCAGACGGTTTGAAGATTTTTCGACCATATCGGCTCACTCGCATTTTGAGTTTTGGCAGTCGTGGGAAGGCCCGTAAACAAGACCGTCGGCCGTACCGACCTCCACGTAAAAAAACGACCGTGTTTACGGTCCGACCGTCGGCCCGTCCGTAAATACGACCGTGGCCGTCCTCTCATCCGCATACGAGGAGACTTCAACGTTGACTTCCCCAGACGGGGAAAATATGGATTTTGTGAGTTATACCACCCGAGGTTATATTTACACACGAGCCCCTTTCCAAAAACAGGTTTGATTTTTTTCTCTTTCTCTTCCCAGGGGTTTAATGACATTTTGACAAGGTGTAAATATTAAAAGAAACCCGTGTTTTATCATGAAAACCACGGAACGTGCTATGAAGTAAGTATCCTTTCTTCCCCACTCTTAAACAGACGGATCATTTTCACATTTATGCTTTTTTCCCCATTTTTGTTAAGGATAAAGTTTAAAGATGTGTGAGCTGGGCTGATTTCACGAGGGCTGTCGTGTAATCTCGAAAATATGGGAATGTGCTGCAGCCGACACAACACCGACGGTGCCAGACCGTTGAGTAAGTAAACGCATCTGAGGTATTAAAGCCAAAGCAATCAAATTTCTACATGTCATGTACCAACATCAACACTATAAATACTATAAAATGATTTCCTGTTTAGTATGGATTTTTAACAATTTCTATCATCTTCTTACATAGTATGAATTCCATGCAATGATCTACTATTTTGTGAGCATTCTTAAGAAAAAGGGTTTTTAATGATGTCACACATGATCTACTATTCACTCAGAGTTTGTCATGGTCTTGAACAATGATCTGTGTAGGTCTTGGTTGAGATGAAAAGCTAGTGTCACGAGCGGGATTCGAACCCATGACCTTCGGTTCAATGTGCCGCTGCTCTAACCAAGACCTTAGATAAAAAGATTAATTGAAATAATTACTGGTGGTCAATTATGACTGCTAAACATATATGGATTATTGTAATAATTAAAGAACTTTGGTAACAGCTCCCCGTGGCCACTTCATAGGCTGAGAATCAAATCCTGGTAACACGACATTTGAAAAATGGCAAAAAGAGGGAAAACTTGAAAGGTTGTGGGTTGAGATGAGGGATGAATTGGTGTTCGAATGGATCAAAGTCAATATTTAGAGCAGCAGTGTATTTAATCAAAGTCGTGGGTTTGAATCTCAGTTGTCACTAGTACCAACACCTTAAATTTATTATAAAAAGAATAAATTAATTGAAATAATATGAATAATAATGGTATTTTATTTAACTGTTAGAGAAAGAATACAAAAAGAAAATAAACATTAATAATAAGTCAATTCACTAGTTTCGGGTCCGCTTGACCAATTAATATATTACAATTAATTAAGGTTTTTAGTTGAGATAAAAAAGGGTCACGATAGCTCAAGTGGTAGAGCAGTGGCGTATCAAGCTGAAGATCGTGGGTTCGAATCCCGTTCATGCCATTGACTTTTTTATCTCAACTGAAAACCTTAATTAATTGTAATATATTAATAATAAGAATGGACTAGTTCGTCTGTTGACAAAATAGAAATGAAACAATTACTAAAGCTATATTGTAGTAGTTTTTCATGGTCTCATTTCTAGTTTGTGAGCCTTTCATACTCTACGATTTTATTTATTTATTTTTTGACCCACTTCTATTTTGTGACAATTTTTTCATATTCTCTCACCACAATCTATTCTTGTGAGAGTTGTTGAGGTCTTGCACAATGATCTACTGTTTTGTGAGTATTTCATTGTATCACACAATGATCTATTTTGAGAGAGTTTTTCATGGACTCACACAATGATATACAATTTTGTGAGAGTTACACAATGATCTGAGTACTGTGAGTTTTTCAAGCACTTTCACAATGATCTCTAATAATAATAATAAAAATAATAATAATATTTTATTTTACTGTAAGAGAAACAATATAAAAAGGAAACAATCATTAATAATAACTCCATTATATTTAGTGGTCTGATTGACCAAATTACTTCTTTCAATTAATTAATCTTTATGTAAGGTATTGGTTGAAATGAAAAAGTTAGTGTTACGAGGGGGATTCGAACCACGACCTTTGGCTCAATATGCCACTTGAGCTATCGTGACTTTGATCTACTTGGACACCAACTCCCATCTCAACCTACTTAATATTAATAATACATTATTAATAACAATGGACTGTCTGTCAATAAAATAGAAATGAAACAATTACAAAAACTAGCTCTATTTTGTGGGAGTTTTTCATGGTGCCATTATTATTTTGTGAGTTTTTAATGGTCCCATTATGATTTTGGGAGGGTTTTCTTGGTCTACCTTCAATTTTTAGAGATTTTTTTCAAGGTCTCACTACTGTTTTGTGAGTTTTTCCATGGTCTCGCCACTATTTTGTGAGAGATTTTCATATTCTCACACAACAATCTAAACTTTTGTGACAGTTTTTCATGGACTCACACAACGATCTATTTTGAAAGAATTTTCATGGTCTGAGATGTAATTTGTGAGGGCTTTTCAATCACTCGCACAATGGTCTCCTTATTTTACAAGAGTTTTTCATGGTCTTACCACTATTATGAGTGAGTTTTTCATGGTCTCAGACTCAGTGTTGTATTTTGTGAGGATTTTTCAAGCAGTCACACAGTGACCTACTACTTGGTGAGTTTTTCATAGTCTTACATGGGTTTTTAAACTGCTCACAGTTATCTAATAATAATAATTATTGTTATAATTATAACTAACTATAAGGAGATATGATACAAAAAGGAAATAATCATTAATAATATTGGACTAGAGTCTGTCTATCGATAAAATAGAGATGAAACAATCACTAAAACAATGAGCTCTATTTTGTGGGAATTTTTAATGGCGTCATTATTATTTTGTGAGTTTTTAATTGTCCCACTACAATTTTGCGAGAGTTTTTGTGGTCTCTCTTAAATTTTTAGAAATTTTTTCAAGGTCTCACTACTATTTTGTGAGAGTTTTTTCATACACTCACACAACAATCTACCATTTTATGAGAATTTTTCGTGGTCTCATTATTCTTTTGGGAGTTTTTCGTGGTATCACCTAATGAACTACTATCTGTCAGTTTTTCATGGTCTCATACAATAATCTGTTTATCGTATTGTTAATGATTTCACCCAATTATGATCTTTATATTTACCAATACATCTTTTTCCAAAACGATTCACAATTTCATTGTTCTCTGTAAAAAAGTTTTTGAAACGTTTCATTTTACTTTCTTCAAATTTATTAAATAGTTACTGAAAGTTTATTTATTTATTTTTCAGTGTACCAACAAGGCTACAAAATGGGCATGGAAATGGGTGTAGCCGAGTCTAGATACACTCCGGATCCAAACCGACCAGGCCAGCTGAAAAGGCAAGGCGTCGATATTATTAGGACGCCAACGACGCCATCGGAATACAGAGATAGACAAGGTACTTAGAATATTATATCAGGTCGAAAAATAAGCCCTAATCATTTTTTGACAATTTATCAATATATAGACCAAATGAAGTTAAGTTTTTTCCATTAATAGAGTTTTGCAGGTACTGAAATAAATGAAATTTTTTAAAATGTATAAACAATAGTACAATTAATTAACGTTTTTAGTTGAGATAAAAAAGTCAATGGCATGAGCGGGATTTGGACCCATGATCTTCGGCTTGATACGACACTGCTCTACCACTTGAGCTATCTTGACCTCGATCCACTCGGACACTAACTTCCCATCTCAACCACACCCTTTTTGAATTTTCCCTCCTTTTTGCCATTTTTCAAAATTCAAAAAAGGTATGGTTGAGATGGGAAGTTAGTGTCCGAGTGGATCGAGGTCACGATACCTCAAGTGGTAGAGCAGAGCAGCGGCTATCTAGCTGAAGATCGTGGGTTCGAATCCCGCTCGTTCCATTGACTTTTTTATGTCAACTAAAAACCTTAATTAATTGTATGATATTAATTGGTCAAGCAGACCACAAAACTAGTGAATTTAATAAACAATTATGTTTTCAAAACATGCCAGGGATAAAATCAAATTGTTTAAAAATGCTACAGATTTATTTTACAACCTGAAAATATATCTTTAATTTGGTTGTTCTTACAGTTCAAAGCCAGACCATGGCTCGACATAAAATAGTCGTCGCGGTTTACAACTACCAAAGCAGGGAAGCGTCTGACGTCAGCTTTGTCAAGGGCGACAGGATGGAAGTTCTAGATGACAGGTAAAGAAATTTAGAATAAATTATGTTGGTATTTGTTAAATATTTTTTTCTCATTTATGCAATAGTGAGTCAGACTGGTGGAAAGTAAGGCACTTAAGGACTGGCGATGAAGGACTTATCCCTTGGAATTTTGTAGCTCAAGAAAAGTCTGTCGAGAGTGAAGAGTGAGTCTTTAATTTCATTTGCATTGTTTCCTCTGATTATTGCTTTCTAAAAAAAAAAAAAATTATTCTAGCTGGTATTTTGGTAAAGTATCGAGAAAAGAGGCCGAGAAATTTTTGATGGCTGAGGAAGAGCCAAGGGGAACGTTTTTAGTCAGGGACTCTGAACACAACCCGAGTGGATATTCGCTTTCTGTCAAAGACTGGGAGCAGACACGAGGCTATCATGTCAAACACTACAAAGTGAAACCGTCGGGTGACGAAGGCTATTTTATAGCAGCAAACAAAATATTTCCAACACTCCCTGCCCTCGTTCAAGCTTACACAAGTAAAACTTATCAAAATTAAAATTAAAATTTCCTTTTAATAATAATTTTTGTTTCTTTTTGTAGAAAATGCCTTAGGCCTGTGCCATGTTTTATCGAAACCTTGCCCAAGGCCTGAACCTCAGATTTGGGACCTGGCTCCTCAATTGCGTGATCATTGGGAGATAGACAGGAGCGAAATTCAGCTCATTCACAAACTCGGCCAAGGGAATTTTGGCCAAGTTTGGTATGGTAAGTCATTTTTAATCAAAAATTTTCTTTAGGAAACAAAAAAACTGTTTTTAAATACTCCCCTTTATTTTATCTAGGTAAGTGGAGAAATAGTATCGAAGTGGCCGTGAAGACATTGAGGCAGGGTGCAATGTCGACCCAGGCTTTCCTTCAAGAAGCAGCCATTATGAAGAAATTCCGGCACGACCGGCTTGTCGCTTTGTACGCCGTCTGTTCAAAACAGGAACCGGTTTACATCGTCACCGAATACATGAAGAATGGCTCGTTGCTCGGATTCCTCAGGAACGGTGAAGGGAAAGACCTAGCCCTTCAAGACCTCATATATATAGCTTATCAGGTATTTATTTATGTTTTTCATATCATTTTGTCCAGATTGTAATATCTACCGTAATTTTCGATTACGTTTATTTGTAATAATTTTGCACCAGAAAAAGAGCCTAAAAGCTATGTTATGTGTCAATAAAAATGTAAGTTTTCGCTGCCTTGCTGTGCAGTGCACTAAATCACTGCCAACCTTTCAATAAAAATATATATACAATAAAATAATAAAAAAATGGAAATGTGCATACATCAAGTCACTAGCTGAAATGTGCCTACTTGTTTTGTAAAGTAACAAATTAACAGCACCTCCTCGCCTCATAAAGTCAATAGTGAAAAGTGCCACATAAATTCTCTAGTGGAAACTGATCTCCTCCCTTAAGTCACTTATGAAAAGCAACCCCTTGCTTTATTAAGTCAATAGTGGAAAATGCCACATAAATTCTCTATTGGGAATGATCTCCTCTCCTCCCTTAAGTCACTTATGGAAAGCAATACCTTGCTTTATTCAGTCAATAGTGGAAAATGCCAACTAAAGTAAGAACTGATCTCTTGCTATATAAAGTCTCTTGAGAAAAGCTACTTGCTTCATAAGGCCAATAGCGAAAAGTGCCACATAAAGTCTCAAGTGGGAACTGATCTCTTGCCTCAAAAAATCACTTATGGAAAGCAACCCCTTGGCTCATAAAGTCAATAGTGGAAAGTGCCACATAAAGTCTCAAGTGGGAACAGAACTCTTGCCTCAAAAAGTCACTTGTGGAAAGCAATCCCTTGGCTCAGAAAGTCAACAGTAGAAAGTGCCACATAAAGTCACACATGAGAACTGTCTCTTGCCTTAAGGCACCCTTTGCTCTATAAAATCGATAGTGGACAGTGCCATATAAAGTCTCTAGTAGGAACTCATTTGCCTCATAAAGTCACTTGTGGAAAGTAACCTTGGCTCATAAAGTCAATAGTGGAAAGTGCCACATAAAGTCAATAGTGGAAAGTGCCCACATAAGTTCTCTAGTAGGAACTGATCTCTTGCCTCATAAAGTCATTTGTGGAAAGCAACCCCTTGCCTCATAAAATCAATATTGGAAAATGCCACATAAAGTCAATAGTGGGAAGTGCCACATAAATTCTCTAGTAGGAACTGATCTCTTGCCTCATAAACCCACTTGAGAAAAGCTTCTCCTAGCCTCATAAAGTCAATAGTGGAAACCGACTCATTGCCTAGTTACTAGTGTAAGGAATAATGGCTGAGAGATTAGGGTGTCCAACTCTTATTTACGAACTTGAGTTCCCGAATAGACATGGATTTTTAATTGAAATATGAAAAACAATGGAAGTTGAGTGGTTCTGACCCCTCATTGTGATAACTGGAGCATCTAGAAAAAACGGTGGTTGTTGGCTTGATCTTTGGACATATAAGTATGAAGGGTAACAAAAAGACAAACGAGGCGGCTTAGGCTGTAATGTCTCTACCTTGACTTAACCACCATGATCCAGCTCTTACGATTTGAATCAAGTAAGAGGGGTTCATATTAACTTGATTAATAATAGGTTGAAAAGATTGACACAGTCATTTACTTCTGGAGTGTGTTCTTACTTGGCTCCTTATAGGGAGCGTGTAGGCATGGTGCCCAATATGAGAATTGTGCTTAAGTAGTGATTGTAGGAAACAGGGCTGTTTTATTGTATATAATACTTGGTAGATATGATGCTTTTTGTTTTCTGATGGAATGTATTTATTATAGCGAATTTGTAGTGTGGAAAGGCAGATGGTGAAACACTTTTGGCAATTAAAGTAAATGCTTGTATTTTTTCAGGTGGCGAGTGGTATGAGTTATCTGGAAATGAAACAGCTCATACACAGAGACTTGGCGGCAAGGAATGTCCTTATCGGAGAAAACAACATTGCAAAAATCTGTGACTTCGGCCTCGCGAGGGTAATCGAAGACGACGAGTACTGTCCCAAGCAGGGTAAATATTTTATAATTTTACTTTAAAAATGTAAAACAAGTAATAAACTAATTGAAAAGGTGTAATATCGATATATTTCAGGGTCAAGGTTTCCTGTGAAATGGACAGCTCCTGAGGCTATCGTCTACGGTAGATTTTCAATAAAATCGGACGTCTGGTCGTACGGAATTCTCTTAATGGAACTCTTTACGTATGGGCAAGTCCCATACCCTGGTAAGATATTTTGTATTACTATTATTTTTTTAGATGGTTCTAATTTTGACGTTTTCAGGTATGCACGGTAGGGAGGTGATCGAACAGATCGACCGAGGGTACAGAATGCCGAAACCGACCTCGCACCACATACCCGATCCTATATACAGGATCATGCTTCAGTGTTGGGAAGCGGATCCGGAAAAGCGTCCCACGTTCGAGTTCTTAACGTCGTACCTCGAAGATTTCAATATAGCATCTGAAATCCCATATCGAGATGTGTCCGATTAATTTTTTTTTCTTTTTGACGACGTGCCAATTGCGGAAAAGTTTCCCAGAGGTTACAAAAGTTGCAAAAACAGGGTCAAATTTTTCAATTTTTGGGCGATCACGGATGGTGATGTGTTTTTGTTTTTGTGCTTTTTTTTTCCCAAAAACCCCCTCCCCCCACCCGAATTTCACTTTGAAGAGACTGTGCCTTTAAAATTTTCTGCCTTCTCACACAATTTTTCAAAGAGGAGAGAGAGGAAAAAATGCTATTGTTCTAAAATTTAACGTACATGTGTTAATGTACAATGATCTCAAGAAAGCACAATTTAATTTAATTTTTTTTTCGCTTTTTTATTTTTTTTAAATAGTAATATGTGCGGACTGATTAATTTGTAGCGTGAAGCATTGCGAATGGCAATCGGCGTTAATAAATGTGTGAATCTCTTCATATCAAGTCTTTGCTTGACATCCATGCAGTTCCTAACCATAATTTAAAAATAAAATAAAATAAATAACAAAAATACAGATATTCAAAATAGCCTGTGATTTTTATGTAAAAAAAGAACATTAGGGTGTCCGGATTTGAAAACATTTGAACAGACAAGAAAGTGTCCCTGCATCCCTTCTATTTTCAACAATATGGGTAGTGTAGATCATAGATTCTCAGCCTTATTCTATGCTTAATTATTTATTTTTTGTTAAAGGTGCTTTACTAATCGAGTAATCATTTAATAAAATGGCATGTGAGTTGCTTTGTGAAAGCATATTAACCCAGCAAATGTTTTTCTTTTTTAATACCATTTTATTGCATTGTTTAAAAAAAAGTTGCTCCGCAGAATAAAGATTGTGATTGAGATGATAAATTATGCCTTTTTTCAATCGCCAAAAATATTAGTATGAGCAAAACTGTGCCATCTGAAAGTTTTCCCCCTCAGATCAACACAGCGAAGAAGATTGAGAGAGAAATAAGTGGCGATAGTTTTTTTCTTTTGTACTAAAAAAATTGCAACAAATTGTGTTCTCTTGAGCATTTCGCTAGTCACACTTTTAACATTTTGGACTTTACCCTCATTGAATTTGCTTAAGAATACAAATTCACGTGAGGGGAAAAAATCAGGAATGACAAGGTCTCTATTGTAAATTACAAAAAAAAAAAAAAAATGCTTCTCTACTTTGTACCAATCAAAGGTTTTGCTAATTTAGTGATAATCATTAGTCAAAAATTTTTTCATTTTTTTACATGTACAATTTAAAAATAATTTTTTCTGTTATTAAAATTTATACTAAAAAAAATATAAATATATATAACTAGTATCAAAAGTAATATGTATGTATTTGTCTGTGTACACAATTTTGTGGAAATCAATGCATTTATTTACAATTTAGAATAGTAGCGTTTAACTTAACATGTTATTATTTTTTTATATTTTTTCCAAGTTTTCTTGTACTCAATATGATTTAAAATAAATAGAATGTTTATTCATTGTCTTATTATTGCTGTAACATCTCATTATTTTAATAATCCTGACAGCGTACTGGATTACGAGCATCAAATAATGCCATTGGTTGCGGAAAGTGTTTGCTTGCCTCAACGTCACTAGTGAGGAACACGATGGCCGAGTGGTCAGAGCATTCGACTCGAATGTGAAATCTTGATTAGCCGTGATGTATTTTTAATGGGAAGTATTTAGTGATACTGACCCCTCGTACAAGACACTGAATGGATAGTTGGATTCACAAGTGGACATTTGCCTTCTTGCCACATAACGTCACTAGAAATTTGACATTCTGGCAGATATAGTGTCTGGTTGAAATAGTGCTCTAACCTCATAAAGTCCATAATGGAAATATGTCAACACCACACAGTCATTAGTGGAAAATTGCCATCTTTACACATAAAGCCAATAGAGGTAATATATGTACATCATCCAACAACAAGTGGAAATTTGCCTTCTTTCCACACAAAACCACTAGTGGAAATTTGTCTTCTTGCTACAGTCAATTCTGTAAAACTTCGTATATATCAAATTCCCACAAAGTCATTCATGAAAAGTACATCTTTGCCAAATAAAGCCATTAGTGGAAATGGACATTCTGCCACACAATGTCACTAGTAGAAATTTGACATCCTGCCAGATGAAGTGTCTGGTTGAAATTGTTCTCTACTCTCATAAATTCAATAATGGAAAATTGCCATCTTTCCACATAAGTCACCATTGGAAATTGACTTTCTTGCAGTATAAAGACACTCGTGGAAGGTTAGCTCTTGCCTCAAAAGTTACTAGTGGAAAGTGCCTCATAAAATCATTAGTAGAACACTTCTTGCTTCAAAGTCACTAATGGAAATTTGTCATCCACTTTCCACCAGTGACTTTGAAACAAGGATGTACTTTTCACTTGGGTCTTTATATGGCACTTAAAACTATTGACTTTATGTGGTAAGAGGTCATTTTTCACCAATGACTTTAGGAAGCTAGGGGTAACATTGTATTGGTGCTTTTCACTTGGTCTTTATGTGGCACTTTCAAATATTGACTTTATGTGGTAAGAGGTTACTTATCACTAGTGAAGTAAGGAGGCACTTAAAAAAGTGACTAAGCAGGCAAGAGGCCACTTTCCACTAATGACTTTGGGGTGAGGATGTGTTTTTCACTTTAAGAGGTCATTTTTCACTAATGACTAGGAGGCTAGAACATTGCATTGGTACTTTTCACTTGGGTCTTTATGTGACACTTTCCACTATTGACTTTATGTGGTAAGAGGTCATTTTTCACCAATGACTTTAGGAGGCTAGGAGTAACATGGTCTTTATGTGGCACTTTCAACTATTGGCTTTATGTAGTAAGAGGTTACTTATTACTAGTGAAGTAAGGAGGCATTTAAAAAAGTTACTAAGCATGCAAGAGGCCACTTTCCACTAATGACTTTGAGGTGAGGATGCGTTTTTCACTTTAAGAGGTCATTTTTCACTAATGACTTTAGGAGGCTAGAACATTGCTTTGGTACTTTTCACTTGGGTCTTTATGTGGCACTTTCCACTATTGACTTTGGGTGGTAAGAGGTCATTTTTCACTAGTGAAGTAAGGAGGCACTTAAAAAAGTGACTATGGAGGCAAGAGGACACTTTCTACTAGAGACTTTGAGACAAGAACGCGTTTTTCACTTGGGTCTTTATGAGGCATTTCCATTCGCGACTTTATTTGAGTTGTCATATTTCCATTAATGACTTTAAATCGGAAGTAGGCCACTTTATTGTGGAAGAAGGCTAAAAATATGGTGCGTTTCCATCAAAATCAATCGCTGGCTCTTAATTAACACGTTATTAATTATAAGAGTATATCCATGAGGTTTTGATACTAATAGTCATCAGGATCTTTCGTTTTTCTATTAAATTTCTTAATACTGAACTTATTCTCAGGACTTTTTACTTTTGATTATGTATTATTTTGGCATTTGTGCAATTAAAGAAATTAAGAGTAGGTACTAGATGGACAATTAATTTGCTAGGGGGTTTTATGCGAGTCGAAGTTGCGCCCGTTCTTTTCTTTCATGGCAGGCCGGTAAATGTTTTAAAGATTAAATTTCCAAAATTGTTTTCCATTCTTGTTTTATATTATAGTTTAAAATAACAGCTGATTACATTTAAAGTTTAAACTATGTTGACCGACGACAACGTCCGCGGTTTTGTGCTCGGTAGATTCTTCTCTGTCCATCTTCAGTTTAATCCTTTCGTCTTGTGCTGTCCGTTTGACCGTCCGACCGGCTGAAATTTCACGCCCGGTGTCAGAACGGTGTTTAAAACAAGGTATTTTCTTTAAATGGGACGCTGACACTGTTCAGATTATCAAAATTGGCAAGAATTTCTGTAAAAGATTTGTTCAAAATTGTCCTTCTCACTTCTCCAGATTTCGTTTCTTCAAGGGGGAAGGGATGATACATTTCGTCCATCTTCTCAACAACGAAGACATACCGGTTCAGGTATTATACGCAAACATTTTGACATATAACTTTAGCGAATAAAACCGCTGTTTTTCTTATGCAATTACGACAAATTGATCGTAACAGTTAAAATTAAAAAAGAATACAAGTCAGTCTGTAAATATCTTAGCATCATCTAAAATATTTTTCTTGTAGTTACAAACTCAAGACATCGTACAATCTTCCATCTTTTCATTATACTGCACTGACAACGCCCGAAAAGGACGATCAACAAACTGATTTATTGCCTATCTTTAAGTATCTCTTCATATCACGAATATTTATGATTAAACAGACTTATGTTACTTATGTTTTGATCAGGTCCAGTTATCCTGGAATTTCGACATAATCACTATACTCAATGATTTGACAACTGTTGAACTTTATTCACTTGTACACCTAACTTGGTTGGTAGATATTCGATCACCCCACTGATGCAATCAAGCTTTGACGATTGAAAGTATTCTAGGGTCAAAGCAAGTAAAAAGTTCTATCAGGCTTTAAAGCCATGTGTGAAAAGTGCCTCATAGAGTCACAAATGCAGTTACCCCTAGCCTCCTAAAGTCAGTAGTGAAAAGTGACTTTATGCCTCATGAAGTCAATAGTGGAAAGTGCCACATAAAGTCCCAAATGAAATGTGGCATCCTTGTGTCAAAGTCACTAGGGAAAAGTGCCTCATAGAGCTACAAATGTAATGTTACTCTAGCCTCCTACAGTCATTAGTGAAAAGTGACTTTTTGCCTCATGAAGTCAATAGTGGAAAGTGCCACGTGTAGTCCCAAATGAAAGGCGGTGCCCTTGCCTCAAAGTCAATAGGGAAATATGACTCACAGAGTCACAAATGCAATGTTACCCCTAGCCTCTTGAAATCATTAGGGAAAAGTGACTTTATGCCTCATGAAGTCAATAGTGGAAAGTGCCACATAAAGTCGCAAATGAAATGTGGCATCCTTGTCTCAAAGTCACTAGGGAAAAGTGCCCCTTAGAGCCACAAATGTAATGTTACCCCTAACCTCTTAAAGTCATTAGAGAAAAGTGACCTCATGCATAACGTCAATAGTGGAAAGTGTCACATAAATTCACGGGTGTGTACATAGTGTCTAGTTGGAAAGGCTTTATAAAATCACTAGGGAAAAGTGCCTCATAGAGCTACAAATGTAATGTAACTCTAGCCTCCTACACTCATTAGTGAAAAGTAACTTTATGCCTCATGGGAAGTCAATGGTGGAAAGTGCCACATAAAGTCCCAAATGAAAGGCGGTGCCCTTGCTTCAAAGTCAATAGGGAAATATGATTCATATAGCCACAAATGCAATGTTACCCCTAGCCTCCTAAAGTCGCTAGAGAAAAGTGACCTCATGGATAAAGTCCATTGTGGAAAGTGCCACATAAATTCACTGGTGGGTACTTAGTTTCTATTGGAATGGCATTATAAAGTCATTAGAGAAATGTTTTTACTAGCAACAAAGCAACAGTAAAAAGAAAGTGCCTTCTTGCCACATAAAGTCCATATTGAAAAATGACCTCTTACTTGGTTTTACTTCAGTTGGTCTTTTATTTTTTACCCGTTAATTCTATTGGGTTGTCCGGAAAATAATGCAGGATTTTGGTATTAAACAAAAAAAAAGAAACTAGTTACTTTAAAGCAATGTTCTTTAATCAAAATAATTTCCCATACTCTCAATACATTTCTCCCAACGTGTTGGTAACTTATTAATTCCGTCTGAGTAGAATTCAGAATTTTTAGAATTGATAAAGTCAATAAATGCATTTTCCAGTTCCGTTTGATTTTTGAATATTATGTGTTGTAAGTAGTGGTCCAGGTGTCTAAAAAAATGGTAGTCAGTAGGCGAGAGGTCCGGAGAGTAGGGTGGGTGAGGCAAAGTTTCATAGCCAAGCTCCAATAATTTTTGTGACGTTACACGTGACACATGTGGTCGAGCGTTGTCATGCAACAAAATGGGCCCTTTCCGATTGACCAAAGAGGGCTTCATTACTGCCAATTTCTGATGCATGGTATTAATTTGGTTACAGTATGATTCAGCATTGATGGTTTCGCCAGGATTTAAGAAGCTGTAGTGTATTAAACCAAATGAAGCCCACCATACCGTAACCATTACCTTTTTTTGATGAGTTGGGGGCTTTGGAAAATGTATTGGAGCTTCTCCTTTGTCGAGCCACTGTCCAGAATCCACTTTTCGTCACATGTAACAATTCTGGCCAGAAATGGGTCATTTTTGTTTCGACAAAGAAGTGATGCACAAACATCAAAGCGCTGATTTTTTTGGCGATCGTTTAATGAGTGTGGAACCCAATTTTCGAGTTTTTTCACTTTTCCAATCGCCTTGAGGTGGTCAGCGACGGTCGTTTTACTGACTTTGAGTTGCTCTGCAAGTTCTCGAACAGTTGTTTTGGGGTTTTCTTCCACCACTGATCGCAGAACATCATCATTAAGAGAGGAAGGCCTTCCACGACCTTCTTCATCTTCAAGGCTGAAATCTCCCTCCCGAAATTTTTTAAACCACCTTTGCACAGTGCACTCATTAACACAACCCTCGCCCCAGACTTGGTTAATGTTTCTAGCCGTTTGGGCTCCGCTTCGGCCGAGTTTAAACTCGTAAAAGAAAATCGTACGAAATTCTCGCTTTGACATTATAAGGATGACTGAATTATTTCCAAGTAGCGGAATGCTACAGAGGTAAACAAACAATATCATTTGGAAGAGGATTAATAAGTGTTGACATTCATACAAATGAGTAATCCTGTAAACGTAAACAGAATATTTTATATAGATTGAAAACTTAAAATCCTGCATTATTTTCCGGACAACCCAATATATCCTGTAGTTTTAAAGTGAGAATAATCCATAAAAATTGTTCATTTTGCTATTTAGGAAGTGGCAGAGGAGTTTTTGGATGTATTTCACCAGAACCACGAAGAAGGGACGGCGGACTTCGTCGAGCTCCTGTTCCATGCGGGCGGCTGGTCGACGTTCGTCTACCTCGGCGGGACGTTCCCTCAGAAGCAGCAGTTTGTTGAGATAAAGGCAAACGTAAACCTTGGTGTCTGCACGGGAGGCCGGCGGTGGATAACTTTAAGTGTTGCAGGCCACGCACGACCTCTTCGCCCCGGTGGCCAACAGAGAGATCGACTTCCAGAGGCGGTTCTCCGAGTTCCTCAGCATCGTACTGGAAAGCAACAAGTGCTGTCTGATGTACAATGATCAGTTCATGTCCGTCGTCATCAGAGCCTATCAGATCCTATCCGCTGGGAAGTGGGACATGTTCAGGCTCATAGCTCAAATCCTCGGTATGCCTTTAAAACATCTTACTTTTTTTTCTCTCTCCTATGGATATATTGCAGGTATGAAAATGCTCTGCTCTCTCAACAAGGAATACGAAAAACTCAAAACAAATTACATATCAGATATATCGAACCCCATGACTCTTTCCCGCATCCATCGCAACACACTTTATCAAGGATGGCAGCAGTCATTTTTTAAAATATACCATTTAGTACAATTTTTCGTTTATAAAACACTCTGCGAGTAAGTATATGTTGCATTTTTTTTTGTTATGAGGTTTGATTATAAATTTTTACAAATTTTAAGAAAATGCCAAGGTCAAGGAACAGCAGATATCGTTGCCTCGCCATTTTGGTAATTTTCTTCATATTGGAGTGTTCATTTTGGGTTTAAAAATAAACTTTTGTTTTAATTTAGCCGTTTGACTAATCTTTTAAATGAACTGATGATTTCGACGACACTCCCTCCTACGCCCATGTTCAAGGATAGGTGGCTCACTTTGATATTGAACGGCCTCAGAGACAAGAATTATGACCATAAAGGCCTCTGCTACATGGTCTGTATTTTTTTTTTGTCGAAGAGACTTGCTAAATAATTTTAAAATTATAGGTTCTTTATCTTCTCCTTTGCCGCCCTGAGGACCCGAGGTGGCAGATGAGGCTATTCGATTTTGTGAAATCGGATTTGCTCTATTCCCTCAGGATGTACACTGATCTGTCTTTGATCAGTCTCAGAATTTTATCGAGTGTGGCAAAGTGCACCAGGATTGATTTGAATGGTTTCGAGCTGGAGACGATTTACTATTACCTGTACAACCCAGACCAGTCGCTGGCCATCCTCGCCGCTGAGCTTGTTTTCGAGTTCCACATGAGACAGAGCCAAGACGGCTTTTTGATAATAAAAAACTTAATTAAAGTCTGTCGCAATTCTTTTGTAAGTTTTTTTCTTATTTAAAATCTTGTCAGGACGTTTATAATTTTTTTTTTCAGATGCGCTGTGATGAATTGTTGATGGACTCGATTTACGATAATATAAAGGACATCGTGACCTGGGAATCGTGGACGGACTTTTTGAAAGATTGTGTGGAGGAAGATGTCCATGATGTCATGGCGCTCCTGTATGCCTATGCGCGCAAAATGACAACAGGTTTTATTCCAAGGTTTCGGACGGTGAGTCGGACAATTATACAACAAGACAGGTTGTTTCTATCCGGCTTGGTTTAGACGATCATCCGTGAGATGTCCCCGGAGGAAGTGACTGAAAACCGAAGGACTTTCACAGACCATTTTTTAAAGGATTGGTTCTGCCTGCTAGAACTGGGCAAGCTTACTGTCAGGCCTAAGTCCCTGGCAAAGTTGATCAAGCTACCTCAATATTTTGATGAGGCCATCATCTCAAAGGAGGTAGGACACTACTATGGACATCCCAACATGCTTCTAACTCTAAATATTTTTCAGAACGACGCGATGACTGATGTGGCCAAAGTTTGCCTCGCATACATCACACTCGGACATGAGCACACGCTCATTGAAGAATGCTGTCGAACCCTTTCAAAGATGAGCGAGTTTTCCCGACACAACCCTGATGTCTGTCAAGAGGTGAATCTTATCATTTCAGCCACGACTAAAGTCGTTTTTAAAGATTTCAAGAAATTTAAAACTGACCTCATGGTATGTTTGGTTTAATTGAGACTTGAATGATTAAAAAATCATTAGTTCCTCGTTTGAAAACATTTATAAAATGCAGTTTTTAAATGTTGTGAGGATTAAGGAAGGAAACTTTGTTTTTAGACACAGTGTCAAATTCTTTCTGCAACTAAGTTTTTAGAAGTTGACGATCTAATACTATGGGAAGTCTCCATGGAAAAACTCAGCGTCGCTTCTGCACAAAGGATGAACCAAAATTTGGTAACTTTAACGATTATAACTATTCAAACACTATAATGAAATTTTTCGATGTTTGGTAGATAAAAACTCTTATATTGATGCTTTTCCAATTGTTGATGAAGAGGGCCAAATGCGTGATTAACGAGCTCTGTGAGACGAAGACGTGCAATCTAGGGATGGTCAATGTCCTCGTCAGCAACTGCATGTCACGTTCTATAGCATTGAATTCCGTCATAAGGGCGTTTCTGGCTCCGAGCTTCGGTCCAGACGTTCGCAAAGTCGTAAGTAAAAAGTAAACCGTCTTAAAAGTCCCTGCGGTTAAAGTCTCTTCTAGGCATTCATGACCATGCTGGACCTCCTGGAATTCCTGGGACCGCATATGACACTCCCCGAAGGGATCTGGTTCTCAAAGACAGCCTTTGATGATGAAGACGTGTACAAATTAGTCAGCTACACGACGGAAATGATCGAAAACTCCAACTCCTGCCAGACAAACCATATAAGTAATAAAACTAAATATTTAAGTCATGGTTTGCTCTCTCTTTATAAGGCGCATATTGGTATTTCTCTACATACAATGTGTCTGGTGGGTACAAATAATCTTGTCCTTGCATAAATTTATATGTTGCCTCCTGCCTAAATAGTAGGTTGGAAGTGCCTCATAAAAACAGTAGTACAAAGTGACCTCACCACATAATGCGAATAATGGAATATGCAACAACAGTCGGAACAAGTCTCTTGTATCATAAAGTCAATGGTGAAAGTGCCAACTAGACTCATAGTAACTAGTTTTCCTATGTTTTCCTCCTGCCTACCTAGGCACTGGTTGGAAGTGTTTAATGATGTTAAAATGACCTCTTGTCTCATATGCCTCATGCCATTTGACTCACAAAGTCAATAGTGGAAAGTGCCTCCTAACCTCGAAGTAGCTAGTGGAAATTTGCCTGCTACCTACATAGACACTGGTTGGGAGTCCCTCATAACGCTAGTGACCCCTTGCCTCTTAAAGTCAATAATGGGAGCTGATCTTTTGACTCACAAAGTCAATAGTAGAAACTGCCGCCTAGTCTAGTTGAAATTTGTCTGCTACCTAATTAGACATTGGTTGGAAGTGTTTAATGATGTTAAAATGACCTCTTGCCTCATAAAGTCAATAGAGGGATCTATCTTTTGACTCATAAATTCAATAGTGGGAATCGATTTTTGTCTCATAAAGTCAACAGTGTAAAGTGCCTTCTAACCTCAAAGTCACTAATGAAACTGTGCCTTATTCCCACATAATGTCACTAGTGGAAAATGTCTCTTAGCTTAAAAGTCATTAGTTGAAATGTTCCTACCTCCCACATAAAGTCATTAGTGGAAAGCGCTTGTTAGCTTTAAAGTCATTGGTGGAAATGTGGTTTCATGTCCTTTCTTAATGTTTATCTGGGATTGCATTTATAGAAGGAGTAGTGTACCCACTGGATGACCACCAAAGGTAGTGAAATGCCGAAACGCGTTTAGTTGTTGATAACATCATAGACACAAACACAAACTTTACAAAATATATTTCAGCCAGTGCCAAATTAAAAGACTGTTGCTCCGTTCTTTACAAACTCTGCATGTTCATATCAAAAGGCATACTCGACGTGCAATGCCTCACCCCTTTGATGAGACATCTTGGAAAGGTGTTGTGATAATTGATAATAATTTCTGATTTAAACAAATAAAATTTCAACTGCTTTAGAATCCTATTCACGACGATATTATAGTTGAAGCGATAAATAAATTCACATCAATGTTTCCTCATAAATGGGAGCTTCTTTCAAACGCAATTTTCAACACGTATGCAATTATCAAAGATGACTGTTTGCCGAATGACTTACCTCTACAGGATACAGCGGAAGTAAGAGAGGTAATGAACTTCTTTCAGGCTTTTTTTAACACAGTATTATCATGGAAATTTTTTTTGGTAGATGATGTCGAAGCTTTTCACCGAGCTGTCAGTCCTGACGCAGGTGCTGACAAGAAGGCTGAGGTTCTCTGATCCGAGGACGCTTAGAAAAGTGAGCATCAGGCTGCACACTGTCCTGATTGATCAGGCTTTAAAGCCGACAGGGTTCCGTTCTTGCATCGACCTTCTATACGCCATAAGAGACCTTCTTGCCAATGAAGACGTCCAGTTCATGTACATCTCTTCCTCATTCTCATTAAAAAAATTTAAAATATTTCCATTCGCAGTTTGTCCTGCCTTGATGAGTACCACATAGAGTTCAGCGCGGATGTCGCAAAGTACTACAATTTCCTCAAGCAGAGCATCTCGCCGACGTAAATTAAAAAGTGCCCTGTTGGTAAAAGGTCGGCTGTTTCATTTCATTACATTATCCCAAAATTCTCAACCGCCAACCTTTACCGAACAGTGTATGAATATGTACTGTCTTATGTTTTGCTAACTTATTTTTTCTCCCAGGCCGACATTCCTTTCAGAAAGGGACAACCTACAGCTCCTGGCTGCTTACCCGATATCTTAGGTGCACAAGGTGTTCCAAACGATTCATCAATTTTATCACTGTTTAATAAATTTATTTATTTTTGTTTGTTATATTTTATAATTAAATTTGCTATGATAAATTTGGGCAAAAGGAAAATTTGACTGATTTATATGAGCTCAATCCTGCACATCCTTGTACATTGGAATTGAGCTTATGACAGAATCATTACCAAACCATCAGCCCTCTTGTACTAAAAATTCACTCTCACTAAGTACAAAACAAAATCTCTACTACATATAAAAAAACACAACAAAAAACAGCCTTTTTAACTCCAAAAATCAGAAAAGAGGACCTGAATCTGTGCTAAGCACAATTCTTATATCGGCTGACCTTCTTACACGCTCTATATAAAGAGCCAAGAATGTGAAAATGTATTTTAATATAATAAGTAATTATTTAATGAACCAAACTTGACAAATCAAAAAATCATACTACATGACTATCCTCATTTAACCAATCTAACCTTCAACCCACTCCCACTACATAATCACTCTAATAAGTACATTCACTTTCAATATACACCAAACGAGACTTGTACCAACTGCTATGCACAATAGAACAGCCATGTTAACTCCAAAAATCAGAAAAGAGGACCTAAATCCGGGCTAAGTACAATTCTCATATCAACTGGCCTTCTTACACGCTCTATATAAAGAGCCAAGGATGTGAAAATTTATTTTAATACAAGTAGTTATTTAATTAACCAAAGAGAAGACAAATCTAAAAATCAAACTATATGACTAACCTAACTGAACCGATCTAACCTTCAACCATCTCACATACACAATCTCTCTAATAAATACAATCACATTCACTATGCACAAAACAAGATCTCTACCAAGTACTAGGTTCAGTATGACAGCCTTGTTTACTCTAAAATTCAGAAAATAGGACCTAAATCCGTGCTCAGCATAATTCTAGTATCTGATGATGTTCTTACATGCTCTCCATAAAGAGCCAAGGGTGTGAAAATTTATTGTAATCATATTAGTTATTTAATTAACCAAAGATAGAAAAATCTAAAAATCACACTATATGACTAACCTCATTGAACCAATCTAACCTCCAGCCCTCTCACACTACAAATTCACGCAAATAAATGCATTCACTCCCAATATAAAAAACGAGATCCCTACCAAATATTAAGTACAATACAACAGCCCTGTTCCCTCCAAAAATCAGAAAAAAGAACCTAAATCTGTGCTAAGCACAATTCTCGTATCGGCTGGCGTTCTTACACGCTCTCTTTAAAGAGCCGAGGATGTGACAATCACAGGGAAACACAAAACGAGATCAGTACCAAGTGCTATGCAATAAAACAGCCTTGTTAACTCCAAAAATCAGAAAAGAGAACCTAAATCCGTGCTAACACAATTCTTTATTGGTTGGTGTTCTTACATGCTCTCTATAAAGAGCCAAGATGTGAAAATTTATTGAATGAATGAATGAATGAATAATAGTATTTATTTACATGGAATACAACAAACTCAAAATATGTTACAAAATACTTTACGGCATGGACAACAGTCCGTCAGCCGGAGGTGAAAATTTATTGTAATTATATAGTTAGTTATTGACTTAACCAAAGATAGAAAAATCTAAAAAACAAAGATTAACCTAACCGAACCAATCTAACATTCAGACCTCTCACACTACAAATTCTCTCTAATAAATACATTCACTCTAAAAAAAAAACTAAAAAAAACGAGATCTCTACCAAGTACTAAGAACAATACAACAGCCCTGTTTCCTCCAAAGATCAGAATAGAGGACTTAAAACTGCTCGAGATTAGCTCTCATATCGGGTGCCTCTTACACGCTCTCTATACGGAGCCAAGGTATGACATCCTTTACTTCAGAACATCGATCAACCTTTCTCTACCAATCTCGCACACCAGCTATGGCCCAAAACTAATACCCGGCCGTACCTATGGGTTCTTTGAATCGGAAATTTCGACGTAAAATGTAAATCTCAAGACTTGGAAGACTGCAGAAAGACATATAAACAGAATTCATAATTTCTGACAAACTTAACGCCCTAACGTCCATCAAGCAACCCGCCAGTACCTTATAAAAGATTTTCGGATATCTTAGCTAATCTTAAATAAAAGATTATAACTTATAACCGGATATTGCAAAAATAAGGGTTAATTTTATTCCTGCATGAGTGTAAAAATAATTTATTATATGTATTAAGTAATTTCATTGGATAAAACGACAGAACAGGGTTTTTTAAATGATTCCGCACCGTAACACATGAGGAAACTTGACAAATGGCCAATTCCTTCTTTAAACTAGTACAATTTACCCTGAACAAAGCTATAAAGTTTTTTTTTAAATCCATATTTAACTAAATTTTACGAGTTAACTTCCTGGAGTTTATTATTTTTATGTTTGACCTTTTAACGTTGTCCTGTTGGTACTGTCGCATACACCTTACTTATTAAGATTCCCTGAGGTTGTCACCTTTGCATTTAGGTTTTTTTTTTTAAATTTTTGATTCGGTAGTCAAGGAAAAAAGTCAGGTAGGCCTTTGGGAATAATCGCACTTCCCCGTTTCGATAGGGCCGAGATAGGCCAAACCCGGAAGTCGTGTTTTCGGCAGCCTTGACGGCCTGCCTGGGCCTCCTTCTTCCACTCACAGCGCGGAATTATCGCCAATTGTCCTTTACAGAGAGTCATTATCGAATTGAGCCACTATGAGACGCTGGCTCCTATTTGAAATTATAAATTATATCGGCTTTATGACCGGGTACTTCTAGAAAAGGCGAAAACCATTTAGATTCAGCTTAGACACAGATGGACATTCCAACCTTCACCCTTTCTTAAAATGCGAATCAGCTAGTAGAAAAAGTTATATAACATGTTCCGTCAAAGGCTGTTTCATGGTCATTCCATGTGCCACTTTAAGTCGGATTTCAAACCCAAAATTTGTCAAATTTCCCCCAGCTACTATATACATCTAGCATGGAATTAACTAAAAACCCAAAGAAATTTTGCCAAATATTTTTTTTTATTAATTCATTTCTTTTGTCATTTTTTAAACATTTTCTCTTTGCCTTTTGTTCTTTCCCAGGCCTATCTGAGGTTTATTAGAAGGGAAAATGTTGGCTGGTGTCGATTTGGAGGAGCGTAGCTGGTCCTTTGTTGGCCTCTTGAGTGGTGGGGCTGGTCGGGGCATGGAGTCTCAAGGACAAGAATTCCTCTGCACCGGCCTTGAAAACTGGGATCATCCCATCCTCCGGGCCCGGGGACCGGCTTTACTATCTACGTCCAATCCACTTTCACGATAATGGAAAATATAGAGGTGTAGATGGGAGAAAAAGTCCTTTTGCAACGACGGTTCTCGCCTACGTTGACGAAGTAGTCCGATTTTACAAAAGAAATAAGGAAAAAGCGGTCCATCTACCTCACTTACGATGTCGTGATCCGAAATATACCCCATAATTTAAAAAAAAGGAAAACAAAAGATAATGGTTACTCGGTAGAAACAAACAAACAACAGTCCAAATAAAAACTAATGCCCCGGCTTCACTTAATCTATAAAACACCTCATAAAAAACAACAACAATAAAACTATAAGTATAATAATTCAGCTTAGGTATATAATAAAATGTACAATTGGATAAGTAAGTAAATTGCGAGTAAATAGAGAGTTAGTAAATGAGTATGTGAGCGAATGCGTGAATGCTTATTTAGTATTAGAATGTGTACTTACAATTCACTTGGGTGAATGAGTTTGATTGATTTTTAGCTTGGCTAAGTGTGTGAATGTGTGTGTTGTTGTTTAGTGACTTGGTGAATGAGTATGTGCGCGAATGTGCGAATAAGTGAGTAAATGCGTAATTAATTATTTAGTATGAGAATGAGTAACCGAGTGAATATGCGATTGATGTTTAGTGAGTTAGCAGATGTGTAAAGTGAATGATTTTTAGCGAGTTAGGGAATAAGTAAGTGTGTGAACGTGTAAGTATGTAAACGAAAGCGTACGTGATTTTTTTTAGCGAGTTAGGTGATTAGTAAGTGCGAGAATGTGTCCTTGTAAGTGAATAAATGATTGTGTGGTGTTTGTGTGTGTGTTTGGTGAGTTACGGGATGAGTAAGTGTGTGAATGATTGTTAGTGATTGAGTGGACGAGTATGTGTGCGAAAGTGCGAATAAGTAAGAGAATGCTCAATTGAATATTTACTACGAGAATGAGTAAGTAAGTGAATGCGTGATTGATTGTTTACTGAGTAAGAGAATGAGTAAATGTGTGACTGACTTTTAGCGAGTTATGAGATGGCTAAGTGTGCGCGTGCGAGTGTGCGCGCATACGAATGTGTGATTGTTTAGTGAGTTCGGAGAAGAGTAAGTATGTGAATGCGTGATTTATTGGTTAATGGTTTAGTGAATGAGTATGTGTGCAAATTGATTATTTAGTGAAGAAACGAGTGAATGTGTGACTGATTGTTTACTGAGTTAGTAGATGTGTAAATATATAATTGATTTTTTTTAGCGAATTAGAAGATGAGTAAGTGTGGGAATGGCAAATAAGTAAGTGAATGCGAGATTATTTACTGAGTAAGAGAATGAGTAAGTGTGTGATTGTTTTTAGCGTGTTAGTGAATGAGTAAATAGGTGAATGTGCGCTTGATTTTAGGGAGTTATGAGATGGCTAAGTGTGCATGTGTGTAAGTAAATGTATGATTCAGTGGTGAGTTAGAAGATGAGTAAGTGTGTGAATGTGTGAGCGCGTAAGTAAATGCGTGATTGATTATTTAATAAGTAACAGAATGAGTACGCGAGTGAATGTGCGAATAAGTGAATGCGTTATTGATTATTTAGTACGTTAAAAAGTGAGTGAGTGTGATTGTTGTGTGGTGAGTTAGCACTAGTGTGGTGTTTAGTGACCGTTAGCCAACGATTATTTGGAGATTAGAAAAACATTTTGGGCACTCTTAACACGAACACAAAAATGACACATCTAAACGGAAAACAAACCCTTTGAGCTCTGAAGATGATCTCAATAAAG